AATTTGTATTCAGCACAATAAGCAGCATTCACAGATTACAGATATTGTCTTTTATTTACGATACATCCAGCACATTCATAACACTGTTCTAATTATTGGCAGTTTGTACGTCATGTAATCATTCGAGACTAAGCCAACCGTGCATTAGCAGGGTTTTAATATGGTACTGGCATAATGAAGTGGGAGCCTCAGACTGGGTTAAAAAACATGGGCCTGCCCTTAATTATCAAACCTAACTTGTAGTTGATAAAACATTATAAACATCTATTGAAACCTGTATGTAAAAATACTTACTGGTTTTGATGCAGTTCCGTGTGATAAGTAGGCTTCAGCTGACCTGAGGGCTAAAATTGAAAAAAGACCTCCAGACCACGAGGTGCAAAGTTGCATTTGGTTTAAGGTTAGACTGTACATACTACAGTACCATCTTTGTTAAGCATTATTAAAATAAACAATATCGTTTTTTAAAAGGGATCATTCAGATGAAGACAAGACAAGGCGTCGTTTGCACTGCCCAGCTTCTAACAAAATAATGGTTCAATGAAACGAGAAGCTGTTTTTTAGGGTGCAAACTGAAGACCCAGAGGAATGGCTGCATGCCCTGCAAGTCTTTGATCAAGGAGATGCGGCTATTGCTTTCATCACGCTCCTTTGAAGTCACTGTTTGTAGCTGCATTATTTAGATATCATCAAATTTAAAGTCAAAAAGTGGATGGGAATCATTTAATGTTTAAAAACAACTACCAAGGCAAAGCAGAGCAGTCAACCAGAAAAAAATCTTATCGTAAAAATATTGTTAGAAGCAAATTAAAAATATGTTTATTATTTCGGGATGACAGCTTACAGCCAGTGCAATGTACAGTACATTCAAGTACCAGGAAACCCACATTCACTTAATAGTATAATAACCTTCTACATTTACAGTATGGTCTAATGTCAATGAAGAAGACAATTGTAGCATAAAGCAGAATAAACAATGATCTCTGAAAAACAGGCAATGCTTGGTTATGATAGACACTTGGGAGTGTAAATATTAACAATAGGGACAAAAACCTGACTGTAGAGAGAAAGATTCAGAAAAACAGAACCAGCTGACTGTTAAAGCACACTAATAAACATCACTTGGATCTCCATGGTACTAAATAGCATAAAAGACTCAAACATTAGATGCTTGAGGTATATGTATAATCATTTTGTATAAACAAAGTTCTTCAGTTCGGGAACATTCTGAAGAACAGAACTAAACATTTTGACAATCAGCTGTATTTAGATTTAAAACATATCAAACAAGCCTAATATTTGGAATGTTACATAGTTGCAGAGCATCATGAACATCTATCACCTTTGTTAGAAAACCACTGGGTCACATTAAGAGCACAATTAAATATCTTAGTATCCTTAGGAGGACAGAAATGACCACCTAGGACATGAGTACAAAAATCACTGGCCTTACCTTAGTACACAAGGGGAATTCATAGGCATTTAACAGCTACCAGCAACACCTCAGTTAATAATCGATTGGTTTTATTGCACAAAGTTGCGTGCTTTGAAGGGCTGAGTTAGATCAAGGTTATTTTTAAAAATTCAAAAGAAAAACATCCCTTGGCTGAATCTTCATGCAACAACAATTTAAATGATCAAAGCTACACTTTCAGAAATGCATGGCAACAAAAGAAGCTACAAACTCATCCACTAGGGGGCTTTTGGAGACTTTTACCTTGCAAATTCTTCACTTAAAGGCATGGCTTTTGATTAAACCCATTTCAGCTGTCATTTTGATTATTCATTTTGCTGATAAAGGTAGTTGTTAGGGTAATTGCAGCTAAAGGCGGTTAATCGAAAGTAGTTGCAATAATAAACCAATTACATCAGATGTAATGGAATGATATAAACTCGCAGGCAAGTAATACTGTCTAATAAATCAGAGAATACAGCAATAATTTAATGCATTAAGTGGCTACTTAGTATTAATTAGGCAATACCAACTTGCTGTATAACGGTAATAGAATCATTATTGTAACTATGAAAGCCATTCACAGATACAGTGATCTTTGCATTCATCTTCCTCAACTCATTATTTTAAGCAATTACATTATGGTTCAAAGATCTGTTTTAGTTTTTTTTCCTCTGCTTTGCAACATTTGCTTATTTTTTTTTCCATATGAAGACATGTTTTTCAGTTAACTTATCCCTATTGAAGAGTTCTTACATGCAACAGTATCACATTGTCGCTTTAACTTTAAAGTTAGGTTTGAAATTTCTTCCTTGGTTTTGTGTCTTGTGATTTATTGATTTTACAAAAATATTTATTCTCAGTCTCATGATGAAGAGTGTTCTCACAAAGAAAGGCAATGTATTAGTAATCCATCAATATTAAATGAAAAATATTTACTGATTTACAGTGACTTTGCTGACCAGGACTATAGGATGATACAGCTTCTGGATACCCAGTAATATTTAAGACCGGTCTGGCAGTAAAATACTAACAGAAGATACAGAACAAATACCAGCCTGTTTTCAATGCTCAGGAAGACACTCCTGACTTTTAGTTAAAGGTCAGCACTATTCTCTCACTACACGTTGTTTGATATGCACCACAACCCCCTTTCATTTCTTCTTCAGGTCAGACATCCTCAAAGGATACTTCCATAATCTAACCGTGAGAGTATATTCTTCAAAGATCTCACTTTTGTGCTGGACTACCTAAGTTCTTTTTTTCTTTTTTAATAGTAGCTGTATAATTGTGAGATGATCAATTGCACAAGACCTGGTCAGGAACCTGGCTCCTGAATTCTGGACATACCGAACTTTCTTCAGTGTACTGTACATATCGCTACATACAGCAGTGTAAATTTGTACATATATAGTATACTCGTATTTACGTTGAGGATGTGTTTCATCCATAAATAACCAGTATTTCTTAATGTCTGTAGCATTTGCAGGTACAATACTGGAGTACATTGTATCCCCAAGGCTTCTACAATCATTTTGGGTAACTGGACACTCTAGACACAGAAAAACTGGGGGACACTCTTTATTCATTTTGTTTTTATAGACATGGGATACTCTTTCTTACTATATTTTATCTTTTACTTTGTTTTTTGAAAGATAATTTTTCGTTCTGTGTTCCAGTTGGGGCAAGACTTCCATCATTTTTCGAAACAACAACAAAGGCTTCTACAAAGGGCCTGGTTATTGAACAGGACAGTGTGGATGGCTGGATGCCTTGCAAGCCAATTAAACTCAGGAGAAGTGGGTTCAAATTAATCTGAACCCATTAAGCAGGGGCTAATTGAAGCAGGTGCTTGCAGATCAGGGACCTTCAGGTATTAACGCACAAGAGCACAATGCAATACAGCTTGTTACATACATGAGAAAACACATGAAGTCACATGATTGAAGCTCTCTGGATAGTCTCTGTGGATCTATGGATTTCAGTTCTTGGTATGAAATGGAAAAGCCAGTTGCTGTGCATTAGTTCCGAAGAATCATTTTCAGGTAAGGCACTGAAGAAAAAAAAATAACAAGAACCAGATGCACAGGTTTAATAATTACTAAGGTGTCGCGATGTATTATACTGTAAATGTGGGTCCATTAATCTCTGTCTTTGCATGTGAGTTTAATACCAAAGACTTCCACATATTCTTCAAAGAGAAATGAGCTGAAAGGGGATAGCTGGTTCTTTCTCTGTTGTTTCACTGAACAGAAATAAGCAAATCTTTTGTTGCTGAATTTCCCAGAGGCTGACAGGACTATAAAGGCTGATTTCATCACATGGAGCCACTCCACACAGATCTTTCTATTGTGGGGGTGAAGGGCCGAGCAATTATCTATAATTACACTGATGTGCTTGCGCTGTCACCACACAAATGGAAAGGAAATTAACTGTGTGCACCGTGCAGCTGGGCAATCACATATCAGTAGATTTTCATTTCAGAGGAGCTGCTAAATCTGTTGAAGTTGTTTCTTCAAATGTGAATACAAATAGCCATTTGACAACAAAGGTGGCAAACCGCATTATGAGAGAGAAAGAGGGAGAGAGGGTAGTTTTTTGTGTTCTGAAACAATGGAACACATAAAAATTCAGGGACTCTTATTGGAGCTCTTCAAGATAATGAGGAGCGGCATATCTCTCAACGTTTTGCACAGAGTGGTAAATGTAAAATTCACACCTACTGTACTTATTCATCTTCAGTTACACGCCTTTTCTGAACTCAGTTACATTTTAGGGCTCTTATCCAATCTACTGCGCTCCAACTGTCAGAACTGAAGTGACGCAAAACCACCGTCTTAAAATGTAGAAAAGCTGACACTGATATCTTGAAAAGCTTGGAAATGTAACATCCTGTATACAGTTCGGGTTTAAGTTATTGTAAATGGTCAAAGCTAATTAATCCTTATATCGTATAATTGACATTGACTTCTACTTGATGTTAAAAATCCTTATAAGAATTACACAGTATAGTTGATTACTAAGTAAAACATACTGGGGATTATGTAAATTATAATGGTAATTTAACTAGATCATGGAAATCTCTTACATTGTGTTATTATTATGTATTTACAATTTGCGATGAAATCATGTGTTAACTACAGCATATTAAAAGTAGACAAGGTGGAATTAATTTGTTCTAAAATCCCTTCAGCTGCCAAAATTTTCTCTCAGTAACTGCATACATTGGCCAAACTCCGAAGCTTATGAAATTCTCCTATGGAAAAAGCAAAAAAAAAACATAAAACATGAAAAAACAAAGCATAGAATCATTCTTATAACTCATTTGTATGCAATGTTTGATTATGTTTCCAACCTGATGAATATATGACTCGACAGAAAGAGGGCAGTTACAAAACACAGTAATCTGCTTGTTACAGACTTAAACAAATTTTATTTAAATGTTATACATAAAATTTAGTGACTTCTTTTTTAAAATTTCTCGAAACCCAAATTTCATATTTTATATAAAAAGGAACAGAAAAAAAATTAAATATTAATTCTTATTTACATTTTAAAACAGTACACAAAATCAAAAATCCATTATAAAACATTGACTTTCCATTTAAAATCTGTAACTGGGAGTTGTGGGTGTTAAGAAACAAGATAGCTCAGTCTGATGCTATACATTCACATGAAGTACACAGCCTGGTTAAGGCTCAACAACACTATCCTCAGGGGGCCGGGACAGGCAGAGGGAACACCGACAGGGGCGCGGCCTGAAAAATCAACCAGTCTGGTATACAGACGTCATTCACATACTGTAACAGCAATCTTCAGCGAGTTCTGGATTTCCCTTGTGGTCTATTCCCTTATTTCCAGTTTGTAAATGTCACAGTTTTTTTTTTTAAAACTTCATTTTGAAAAGAATACTGTACAGGTTCAACAGCCATTCTTGGTTTCATCGCAGTCAGTCGGTTTTGGCTGTTTCGGTGGCTCCTTGCTGGCTCGAGGCCACGGTTTTACTGATTGCTCGAAAGACGTGATGACGCTCCATTCCTTGTTGTCTTGAGGTGTCCTCCCTGTACACAATCTTTAACAGAAACGGAAAAAAAAGTCTAAGCCAGGAGTATGGTTTACATTGCCGTGATACGATGCACGTATATCGTCCAGGGAGATTAACGGAAGTCTCTCGACAACATACATTCATAAAAAGCTAAATGCAAAATATTGCTGAACATTGAGCTCATTGCAGCATGATTCATTCACTCAGTAATGTGACTCTTTTAACCATGGCTTTCTGGATAACCATAAACGTCTTTAAATAACAAAGCAGCCGTTTCATAAGGAAACATGACTTTTTAACCACAGAGTTACTGTAACAAAATACCCTGTTCTGTCCAGCTCCTAGGCAAATGGAAGGAGCCTACCAGAGCCACAGTGGCTGATCTGGCCAGAGCTCATACCGATTTCTGTGGTGTTAAGCAGGTCAGAGAGCACGTCACAATGCAGGGATCACCCCTCAGCACATAAGGAGCAGCACATAGACTCTCCCTGATAGTGCTCACATGAGATTCTCATGCCTGCTTTTTTATCTCAATCAGAGTGTTTCTTTTTCAATAGTAATTAAAAAATACTTAGCACACACCAGTAACTATATAGCTGAGGTGAATTGTTTTTTGCTTCAGTCACAGAAGACAGGGATTTAAACCCATCTCATTAGGATAAGTAGGGTATAAAACCACATCATTAGACGTATAGTAAATTATTTATTAATTACAGTATTTAACTACTTTGTGATAAGCTTCCTGTCATCTATAGACTTTTAGTGTATGATTTGCCTCCCCTAACGCATACAATTGAATTAAATCAAAACATCAAACTCAGAGCTACAGTACATGTCAGATTTCATTCATGAGGAACAAACCTCCAGCAAAACAAAATCTCAAATACTGGATTTATCATTTAGATTGTTGGGTGATCATGTTTTTGACTTAAAGCAATTATTAATACTACAATCTGTTTTATGGTTATAAATAATTTCCTCCATTGACCCAAAATTACACCTTTCAGCTACAAAATAATGCAAGTCAAAGAGATAGTAGAATAAGAGACATTCAGTACAGTGTCACGCTATTCCCTAAAAACAGATGTCAGTGTCCTCCAAGCTCCAGTATTAAAAGGCCACCCTCATATCAATTTACATAGCTCCAGGTAAAATCCTTGGGACATTTTTTTCTGTTCAGATTTTAAAAAATACAACTTAATTTTGTCTGTAAATCTGTAAAGCATGCAACTAAAACGTGATTCTGAAAGGATGGAACAAAATCAAAGCATAAAACAGACAAAACCAGTGCCCAGGTTTTGTTTGGCCACAGCCAAGGAAACAAAATGTGCGCTAGCATTTACTAGATGGATTGGTAGATTTCTTAACTAAGGAAAACACAAAGGGACTGATGAGTACTTGCCAGGGAGGTATAACCAAGCACTGAGAACAGAGAACGAGAAAGAAGAAAACATGACATACCAGTTTTGGAAACTGTTGCGAGTGAGATATTAGAAAGAGATGAGCAGAAACTGGAAGAGATGGTGCCATAATGCAGCTAAGGAAGAAAAAAAGAAAGCAACGGAAAACATTGGGAAAAGTGTGGATACAGGTCAGCTCTGCCTGCAGTCTTCAGGCAGGGAGACGTGACACAATCGTGTCTGATCTCAACATATGTGCTCAGTTGTACCTTTGATTTCCCAAGAGTAGCAGGATCAAAAAATGAATATTATATGACTTCTTGTCAATATTGTTAGGGAAGCATGGTAAGTACGTTTATGTTAATATGTTAAATGAATCCTATTGGATGCTTCTATCTGTCAGTAAACCTAAAAAAAAGTGCAAACGTTATCATAAAAAGAAAATTCTCCTTATTTAAAATTAAAATAATAAGAAATTGCATGTTGAAACTTAATCAACTAAAGACAATTTAAACAGTAATTAAAAAAGTGTGTTTTGTGTAACCATCTATTGTTTTAATTATCTGTTACGACATGCATCCTTAAACTTGTACTCCCTTGAAAAGCTGTGGAAAATATCCTCTGTAAAAATCTGAAATAAATGGTCATTGTGAAATTGTTGTTGGGCATTACTCAGAAAATCATGACAATATAATAATGATTGAAATGAAACTGCTTTACCATTTAGACAGTATAGAATAAAGCAGACAGTAGCACCTGTTAAGAATGGATGCAAATGAGCCAGGGGATGGGTTTAGTGCAACCTGCTGTAGGCAACAGTTTAATCTGCTGGCATTGAACCTGAATTATGAGGTTAAAGGTGTGTCCAGCTCAGTCATCTGGTACAGGAGTCTCTGACCCATGTGCAGTGAGAGAGAGACAGCTCACCTGCTCATTCATGATACTGGAGAGCTCACTCAGCATGTCTTTGTAGTGGGTCTTCATCTCCTCCTGGTACTCCAGCTGGTCCTCCTTAATCAGGCGTTCGTTCACCTCCAGAGCATGCCCGCATGCTTCTGCAAACTGCCTGCAGCAGCAAGAGGCACATCGCACAAGAGCGACAATCAAGTCTGATGTGCCATTACTTGACTCTGTTCAGTAATATCTATCTTTCCTCATTATTTATGCATTTCTTCAGCAAATGATGCTGCCCTGTACTGCAGAATGAGAAATGTTCTACACAGTACTCCCACCAAGAAGGGATATAAGGGCTACAGACCTTCAATTTATTCACTCAACTACATTTTTTAATCTCCATGGTAGAATACTGTAGAATGTAAAACAATAAATCAATCTATAGACAGATCCAATCTCAAACTCCTAGGGTACTGAGTGTTCCAGAAATCATTCAGGTTTACATGACAAACTGAGGAAACTGAAAGGTGCCTTTAACATGGAAGACTCTATAAATAATGAACATTATGAGGAATTGAAATCTCTAGGTTGAAGCCATCTGCGGCAATGAAACAGGATATTTTCCCAAATGTGTTCTAAGCCTCTCCGTTTCTTGTCATCTGTTTCTGATGTGCAATTCTACTTGGTGACACATCTAGGTTAGCATTTCATGTTTGTCTTCTTTTAACTTTGAATTAAAATGACTCGCAGAAGAAGCAAATGACCACAAGCATTACCTGAAAATCTCTTTCAGGAGTTTCACTTGGTTGTCGGGATACTTCTTTGCATTCTTCTCCTCCAGGAAAGCTCGGGCGTACGCCATCGGGCCAGCATTGACCTGCAACATTGGAGATTTCATTCACCAGGAGGCCCAGTCAAGGGCAGCACGGTGGTGCAGTGGTCAGGGACAATTGCCGCACAGGGGCCCTGGGTTCAATTCCAGACCTGGGGAGCTATCAGCGCAGAGTGCCTATGTCCTTCCCATGTTCGAGTGAAACTATCAGTGCTCTGGTTTCCTCCCACAGCTCAAAAACATGCAGCTGGGTTAATTAGCCTCTGGGAGAATTGGTTGGTCCTGGGTGTGAGGATGTGCGTATGCATGTCTTTGTGAAGGACTACGCCCGTCTGGGCTGTACCATGCCTTGTGCTCATTGCTTGCCAGGATAGACTCCCGCCCCCAGTGATTCCAATTTGGAAGAAGCAGTTAGAAAGTGGAGGGGTGCTGGATGGAGATCCTTCTGTCGACAATGCAATGTAGCACAACACATTAGCTGTAGTAAAGCTGCTGGACGTTCAGTCATCATAAGCCATTTCTGTCATAAAAACGCAGAGCAGGCATTCCGAAACTCAAGCATATGTAACATATGTAATGTGGGCAGCCAATGAACATTAAAAGATACAGTGATTTGGACTGTCACTGCATAAAGGGGTTTTGTTTTCCCTTTCCAGACCTTTGAATAAACTGTTCTGCACACATTACATCACATTCCTCTGGAAAGACTGAAATGTTTGCATGTTAATAAACTGACTGCTAATCACTAGTGCAATACTGCCTTAGAGGATGCTCCGAAAAGAGAAAATGTAAAAAGAAAATTCTATTTCCGAGACCCTAGAGGATTAAGTTAATGGGGATATTGTCATAAACCTTAATCTGTGTGCTATTTATGAATGCCTATTGAAATTAATCCAGGATTACTTCAGCCTTTCTTTTGATATAATCATGTTTTAGAGTAAGAACGGTGAGCAAGCATAATCCAAATTAAAATCTTATGTGAAACATGGTCTTGGAATTGATTTAAGGCTCTTTTGTAGAAAAGGATTAGGTTGCAAATCTTCTAAGACACGTCTCTGGATGTATGTTAGTAAGAGGCTCACTCAGCTCTACAACAGCACGGCAGCTAGCACAGCAATCAAAAAGACACCTGCTGTTATTCTTTCATTTGTGAAGTTTGCCTTTTAGAATTTCAAACAGCAACTTAAAATTTCAAAGCACAAGCCCCATCTTAACAGACGCATTCCATTATTCTAATTTTTCAGGCAGAATTAAATCAAAGATGTGCTCTCTATTTCATTTCCTTCCATTCACAAGACATGACAGCAGATCTCATCTCAACTCCCAGACTAATGGAACAGCTGGAGGTTTCTCTGGCCCTGGGGGTCTGGACTGTGAAATGTACACACCTGGTGCTTTCAATACATTACCTTGACACTAACACTGCCCTGAAGTTTCAGCTGCAGCCTGATCATGTCCACCTCCTCCATGAAGCAGAGCTGGTTGAGCTCTGACACCTTCCGTGACATTTCATCAATGGCCACTTCAATTGGGTTGAGCTCTGTGCTTTGCTGGTCAACAACCTGGATACGTTTCTTCACATATGGAAATGTAGAGCTGGCTGCAAGGCAGACCAAAAAAATAAATAAATGATGAGTAACTTTATTTGCATAGAATACACAACCGTAGACCTCTAAATATTTGTTAAAGGGAAACCTGACATTCCCTAGTATTTCAAGACACAAATAGAAAAGACAGTTTTGTATTTTATAACAGGTGTAGGACACTGAACATTTAATAAAACTAAAAAAAGATGTATTTATGACCAAATAAGAAAAGAAAATTCAAATATTTAAATCCTCAGTGGAATGAATAAAGGCAGCCCTGTTGAATTCTGTAAAAACCCATGGTGGGAACACAATCTTCAGGACACAAGTAGAAAACTGCATGGAGGCGTATTAAAAATCGAGAACTGGAGGTACGTCTTAAGCAAAGGGTTGTAGGAATATTCGATATGTTACACAGCAATGTTAAAGTCGATGCTCTGGTTTCTTTAAAAAAACAACTGGTTGAGAACTTTGGTTCAATTAGCTATGAACTAGCAAACAAGCTTGAAGGGCCAGATGGCCTGGTCTTGTCTGTAACCTTCCTTGTAATCGTATAAGACTGGCAAGTAGGATGTCCATTAGTTACTAAGCAATGGAGGATGGAGGACTCCAGCTGTTACCTTCTCACAGCACTCTAAAAAAGAGTATGATTTAGAATCACCCTGCAATTGGAGACGTTTACTAGGTCTTATTGGCATTGTGGAATAAATCCAACCTACTGTGAAGTGAAAGGCAATCGTGAAGTAGTTTTCAAGTACCATTAATGGATACACATGACTCTGTAATCTGTTGTCTGGGATTATTCAGCTAATATTTTCAAGAGGAAAACTATGGACGCACTTGTCAAGATAGTTCGTCTTTTGCACTGCTCTTCAACGTCCCCATGCTTTTTCCCGGACAGTGTAAAGGGAGTCTCAAACACAAAGCGTTTGATGTTGTGATGTCTCTCAAAGTCGGTCTTCTTTTCTTGAAGCTCTTTCTCATCAAAATATGGAGTTACGTATGTGACCTGGATATAGGCGTATTTTGGATCCAAATCCTTAGGGTTGACCTAAAACAACATAGAGATTGCAGAGAGAATAAAATTGAAATATATATTTTCCACACGATCCCACTCACTGTTTTATCATGATGATACAAGTGTGTTTAGTCAGTTACCACACAATGGATTTAAGATGGTAATAAGCTTTCAGGTTCAAACATATAAACAGGAATCATTCACTGGCTGAGTACAACCACCCGAGTATCTCACCAATGAATTGTATTTTAATTTGGAGTTTTGTCAAAGACACTGTTGTGAACACAAAAACAGCACGTACTGTAGAAAAGCGAAGCCGAAACATATTTATCTTGAGAATGTAATCAAAATGAATAATTGATCCAATTCAAACATGAACTCATTTGAAAGGTCACTCCATCTAAAAACAGTTTCTCATTCATTTATGGCTGTGAACAGAAGTGACCACAATCTTACAGTACTGCACAGTGCACTTCATTCTCTGAACCTAAATAAAATGTATTTCTACTGGGTTTATAACATTCTTCTGAGGAAATATTTAAAGTGATGCCCACAATAACAATACACTATAAACAGCTAAACTTTACGTTATGTCTTTCCTGAAATAATCATTTAAAATAATTTGGTTTAAACGCACCTTGTTTGAATCCTGGATCATTTTTACATTGTCTGCTCCAAATTTATCGGAATACAGTTTTAGCAGCCTCTGGGATATTTCTGAAAGACCTGTCAGCTTGGGCTCTTTGTATATGAATTCTTTGCTCTCCTCTTCTTCAAAAAATCCCTGTAAAAGATAGATGGTTATATTATATTATGCTCAATTGTACTGTCTTTTCAAATAACCTTAGATGTGAAGAGCCTGCAGTAATTGTAGATCTATCTTTGAAGATTGTTGTTAATATTTTAGCTTTCTGTCCACTGAAGGTGAATCTTACAACAAAAATGGTTTTCAGAAAAATACAGTCGATTCTGGAGTGCTATCATTCAATGAAACTGCTGAAAAAATACGCAAAAAGAACAACTCTGCTTGATAGTGGGAAACTTGCATACCGAAAACTGAAAAGAACTGTGACTGAAAAGAAATGTCCTTCTCTTGTGTCTTTTTCTGAGATTAACTGCCTAATAAGGACAAATCTTCCTACTAATGTATTCATTATGAAATCTGGGAGATCTCATGGAACAAAAACAAATCCAAATTTAACAATTATTTTGCCTTTATATTTTATTAAAGAAAAAGTGTTGTTGAGCAATTCATGATCAAATACTGAAATATTTTATTGTTTGGTAAAATAAATATCAATATCAATGACAGGGCTAATGAGGAAACTGCAAATACTTCTGGGTTTTGTAAGAATTTATGCATAAACAATAAAATTAATACCTGTCGAATACATTTAATAAAATAAATGAGAAAAAAAACAACCTAAAGACTTTAGGTTATAGGGGTCACTGTGTTTGATATTTGTCAGGATCCCTAAACCCTTTTTTGCCCAAAGTGTCTGCTATAGCACCATGATCCATTAAGAAGCACCATTTAGAATCTTATAGAAATTCTTCTTGTTATTTAGTGAAATATAGGATATTATATCAATATTTTTGTTCATTCTTTTCTGTGAACCAAATAACCTATTTTAATGGAGGGTTATCTTTATTGTGATGGTTCTTGTTTTTGGTTTAATAGAAAATGTATAAGAAGCAAAAGGCCTGAGACTGTTAGAAGACTTTCTTAGTATATACTACCACCCTGTGGGGAATGAGGGTATTGTTGTGAACATGGCACACATAACATCTGTAAATCTGAGTGGTAAGGACAGCGGGGCCTTAATGCCCTTATTAAGATCACACTCAGATTTTGTAACACCCCCCAGATTAGCACAATATTGTGAAAAGATCTGTAATTTTGTTTGGGTTGGAACTATCAGCAGCAGGGTTTTAACTAGGTCCAGACCTCCATTTGACTTTTAAACGTAAGACTGAGCAAACCAGCAGGAATGACTCTGTGTGAAAATATTCCCGCAAGGGGAATTCAATATCCAATCAATATAAAAATAATTACAATGCAAGTGGATTTAAACTTTAGTTTTTATAACTGAAACGTGATTAAATGAACACAAACTTGTTACATACCGTGAGTATACCTGACAGACTTCTACATTTTCAAATGAATAGTTTGGCCTAAATCATTAAATTTATTATAAGATGTTAAGTTCTCACGTTGACAATTTTCTCTGGGCATTGTGGACTTAGGTGTGACAAACAACACAGGTGTTAATGTCAAAGGGAATTATTTACAGCACATTAGATGTGGAATGGAAAGAAAACCTAATAATGAAAAGGAAGCAATTCCAAAAGCAGAAAGTCTCAGTATGTGAAGGCAAAATTACTGCAGTGTAATGGCAGATGAACACAGTTTTAAAACCTTTATGAAAAAATAGATTCTCTCAGCCACTTCTGCTACAATGTTAACCATATTGGTGTCATGTAATATTAAGCCAGGAAAGTTTGAAAGAGTTAAGATGACATTTGAATTCTATGGAAAGACCACGGAGAAGAATATAAGGGGATTTTGAGGGAATGTAAAATGTAAGTGTCTAAGATATTATATGTACACATAATTGCCTGAGATTACATATATATACACACGTGTGTATATATGTATATGGTATATAAAGAACAACTTTAGTGTACTTTAACGTATGACACCGACAGAAGCACGTTAGGAACATTATGCAACAGTAAAGCAAATGCAAGAGAAACGAAAAACTTACCACTGCCTTGAAAAAGACAAAAAAGGAAGAAAAGAGCAGACGACTGCATTAAAGAGGCTCAGACTAGAGCTTACCTAAAAGAAAAGTGCTTAAAACACACAAGAGCTCTTTGTGTTGTGCATGCCACTCTTGAATCACAGTCACTCTTTAAAGATGCTAATTGGCACATATCATGAAGTGCTTAGGGAATAATATACAGATACCAAAGGTAGGATACCAGTGACATTTTTTCACCTCTAACACCACTGATCCCCACTTCCAGTTGAATTTTACTAGGTCTGTCTTTTCTCATTATGTGTTCACACAGCAACCAAACCACAGAGTTTTGGGTTGAAACCTGGATGTAGAATAGTACCCCACAAAGCTTAAAGCTAATACTGTTTTCTATCAATTCTTAGTGCAGTATAAATTCAGCAGACAACGGAGGGTTTGCTCTCTTAGAATCAAGATCCCTTTACTGGGACCACCTGCATTTCAGTACACTTGTAATACCGGCACATAGTGAACTGGTTTTTCAAAATGATCTGCTGATGAACTGCTAAATGTTTAGCTATACACAGCTAACAAAATTCAAAACAGCTAGTTAAAATGTTTTTTCTGTAGTTGCAGCCTTGTGTAGTGATGTTTGGAAAAGGTTTTTTCAGGCATGTCTGTGTTATACTTCTGTAAAATGGGTGTTTCTTGTTAAATACACAACTATTTGTGTAAGAAAAATATTAAACAAAGTAAAAATCATATAAAGGAAATCGAAAAGCAATCACACTAACTTCAAGCAAGTGTACTTAAGCATATATTGCATATTACATTTGTATCATATACAGTACATTACATATTTTCTTTCCCACTTTATGTTAATGGTATCTTACTTTGAGTCTATGTATATTATTCTAAAAGAAAATGCAAACAAAAAAGAAAACACTCTGCAGAAATCCACAGAAGTAGAAGGCTTAAACTTAGAAATGTAACCAATGTATCCACAAAAGGCAACCACAATATTTTTATATAATCTAGAAACGCATGAACAATGAGAAACAAAACCAAAAGGAAAGAAGCTGTGTTCATTATTTTCGACCTTAACTTTTCCTGACAATTGCTCAGTGGAAAGTATTGTTAAAAATAATTTGAAAATAGTATCAATTTCTCATGTGTCAGATTATAGAGACAGCCTGTCGTTTTGATAAAGGTGGCCAGCAGGTCATATTATCTACTGTCACAGATCTGATATCTTGCTCAGTGATCCTGGTGAGACTTTCCCTTTTAAGGTCAAAGTCACAATGAGTCTAGAGAGACAAAATATTGTATGATTACCGCTTACCTGACCATAAAAGGCAACTCGGTAGTATCTTCCGAACAGTCGTTTCTCAGAGTTCACCACTTCTGTCACCTTGAGATATGATCGATGGATGTCATAGTACAATTCTGACAGTCTCTGCGAAACAGGGACATGGAGAAGAGTTACTGAACAACTTAATCATTCATATTCAGTGCATTGGAATGAATAAGCTGCCTTGAGGCAAGTCTCCTTCTCCATGTTGCACAAAATATTAGGCTGCACATTCAAAAACACACAAATCTTTTCGATTTCACTGATATGCAGCAACAGAGGACAGAGACAAGGACAAAACAAACTAGATTCTTTTTAATTTTCTTCTACATGAAAGACTATGAAACACTGCCCGATCTGAAATCCGCTTACTTTGAAGTCCCTTCTCTTCTCAAACACAGCGATCACAGGCTTGCTGACGTCAGCGATGAGCTCGTGTCTCTCCGATTTCCAGAGGTAGTCGACACATAGCTCCAGCTGCTCCACGAGACTGTCCTGGGAAAGTCAGAGAGCACAGAACCAGCCTCAGTGTTTGAGAACATCAAAGGGCATATTCATGGAAAGGTACAGTACCTATCTCATCTCCACTGTACTCCCTCCCTTCTTCCCTCACCTTGAGAAGAGCAGTGGACGCCATCTCTTACCTCAATATATGGAGTGTCTTGCATTCCTGTGTCTTCCTTCATGGCTCCTTCTTCTTTTACATTAGGGGTAATGCAGAGAAACGCTGCCCAGCCCATTGCAAAAGAAGCTGAAGTTTGGAACACAAGCATTTTAGAACATGCGCCTATCACTTGAAAAATACAAAAACAGCATCCATTTAAATCTAATTTGTTCAGCAAGTTCTTAGTAGTGTGTAAAAAGTAAAACAGTCCAGTCAGAGGAAAATTCTGCAGCCTGCAGTCCTTATCTGTCTGTATCCTGGTACTGTACCTGAGCCTTTTTTATCATCACTATGTAATTAATTATTACTCAAAGAATACATCTATGACATTGTTTGCTTATGGGATCGCATTATTACATATTTGAAAGTCTCTTTCAACTCAATTTAATATATCGGGTACCTCATAGTTAAGATAATGCAATTTATCATTAGTTCAGGTAATGGAAAATTACTCAGCATGATTTATCTATTTTCGTTAAAGCAGACTAAGTGCATTGATCTCCTTGTGACTTCCCTGCGATCCGTTTTTTCTGTAATTGCTTGGTTTATTCTAATGGAAACAGTTGAAAAGCTGAACAACTTGAATAGATATTTTATATGAAGGGGATACTGTGGCAATTGTAAAATATCTAAGAATTTAGTTTGGAAAGAATCCATATAGACACCGAATGTACTCAATACCAAAATAAAAATTAAGAAATGATATAAAGTGAGCCAAGACACTCCTACACAATAGTGTAACTTTTCCAGAAAAAAAAAATTCTTAAAGAGTATTTTGCCAAAACACTGCTTTATTAAAAATAATGAGAAATTGTATGGACATACTTGTGAGCACAGCAAATGTGTGTATTAAGTTTCCATACAAATTCAACTATTTAATTATAATCATTACTTTCATTGTTTGTTTACAACAGAGAGCATTTAATCAATTTAATATGGAGGAATAAATTAACACTCTGACACCGAAGTAAGGTGAATTAAACCTGTCATCAGTGATTATTTATCTGTTATCTATGGTAAGAAAGAGCACAAATAACAAATACTCTACAAGTTTGAAGTATCTCTTCTCTTTATGAGACCCACCTAAATAATAATGATTTTCAATGCCAAAGACATAGTTCAGCATCCTAACCCACTTCTTAATGTAAGAACTACTAAAAATCCCTCCAATGAAATACAGTCACAGTGTAAGTTATACATTGATATGTGTGATTAAAACACTCACATTCTCCATCTCGAGATGTTAGTAAGTGGTTATAGTTAATAACATTTGCATCCTCTGCGAACACACTTGAGTTCCGAGCCTTTTCTGTTTTCCAGTAACCTGTGTTAAGGTAGGAGTTCAACAATTTACTGAGAGTGTCTTTAGGAATTAGAACATGCTTATAAACAAGTGTACTTTTTATGAATAGAAAAGGCATGCAAACGTTTGCAAGCAGCAGTGCAGAATAAAATAAAAATGAGCATAAAGGAATAACTGCATCAGGCAAAAGCAGTTTTGCAAATGTGAAGCATTATACATGGATATTCAATATTCTGCATCGTAGGAAGCATAATTACCTGTTCTTCCGTATCAGCTAATACACAAGATTAAGGGACTCAATCACTCCTCTGTCTGGGTATTCTGGATTCCATTATAATATATGGAAGGCAAATAATAACCCACTGATGCAGACTGTAGAATAGCCGTGGATGTTACAGTTGAAAAAGCTGGGAGTTAGCGAAAGCCTCAGGATCTCAGTCGCTTCGAATTTTTGGGTGTGGAAAGGATTTCAGTGCCTCATGCTCTCAGCAGCTGTGCGATCAAACCATTTTTACCAAAATCCTTACCTCTCCTTTTCAAATATTCTGCGATGAGAGCAGCAATATGGATGTAACACATGGCAGCCTACGAAAAAAGAAGTGATTAAGAATACTACAGAGTTTACACAGCTAACACCAAAACCACAACACTGGGAATATTCTGAGTTCAACAAGGCAAAATGCTTGTTTTCCTCCTTTTAATGTGTAATGAAAGCCATACGACATTTTTATCTGCTAGTACCTGAAATATAAAGATAATCTAGATGCTTTTGTGGCAATATCTATAGATAGGACCACATCATTCTGTTGTTTGACATCATAAACGGAGGAATAGCATAATAATGCAAAGCATAATGAATTCATAACAGCAAAACTGTAAAAACTGCAGTCATACTTAAAGTGAGATTTAAACAAATCCATAAATAGGGACTGGGAAATTCAATGTGCTTACATTTTAAGAAACCCTTGCAACTTATTATACAGTATAAAAAAGTATAATGTGAAATATTTTATGAAAATTGCACGAGTCTAAAAGTCTTGATAAGAATATTTATTTCAACATAGAGTTTGCTTATTATTGATAATGCAGTTTGAACAAAAGTAACTATTCATAATTCTATCCATAATTCATATTTCTGTTGACCATGTCAACTTCAGCAGATATACAGGTGATTCATACATGCTGTTAAATTCTGTTATTCCCAAATTTCAAACTGCAAGACATGTTTGACCTAATGGAGCAAGAAAACCCTAATTGTTCTTAATTAATCCTACTAAGTGTTTAGTGTGCGCTCCCAGTTCTAATGACATTGCTGTACATTAATATCCCAGCCACTGCTCACTAAGCAGTTGACATGAGCATTGAGAGGCTGGCAAACATTGAGATATTTTAGGCTCTGAGACCAGACAAAGCTCTGGAATGTCTGCGCCCCTCTCGGTCATGGTCTGTGACCCACGTCTTCGCCAGTGTACCTCCGAGAGGTCTCCGTTCCTGACGTGGATCTTCGCCATGCTCTCCAGCCAGGTCCGGCGCAGCTCGGGCGTGCTGGCGTACGAGTTGGCCAGGCTGTACTGGAGGTCCACAAGCATCTCGGGGTCTTTCTCATGCTCCTTCATCTGCGACGTGGCCATCAGCACTGTCCTGATCCTCTTGGTCAAGTCCTTGACCTCAGCTGGGAAGGAGGTGTTCTGAGGAAGCAGAGTGCAACATTAGGAGCAGGACCTTACAGCGGGAAATCACTTGTGCCACTTGTTACAGTGATACCTTTCTAACCAGACACGTTCATTTTCAGTTTGAATCTCACTGAAATATGCATGCATGGCACAAAAGGAGATACATTTAAATCATTAAGGGCTTACAAATGCTTCTCTTCCTACCTAATACATACAAAGGAATGCAATTCTCACTGACTTTCAAACTAGATTAATCTCTAGGATACACTTTTATGGCAGGGCTCATATATGTGCATATTAAATTAGTCTTGTCAAACACCACTATCATTTGCACACTGATGCTGTTCTCACAAACTATTGGTAAATGGCAAAAAAGCAGAGACACACTAGTGCACTCCTCCTGTCAGAACACACCTTTTAACATTTTATCTGACTTATTCATCTTGGTTTGCTGAAGAGACCTGTACTGGTGTTAATCTACCACATGCACAGTAACATAACCATAACCTATAACTATACAGAATACTGAAAATAGTGAAAAAAAGTGGAAAAAAGTGGAAAAAATAAATTATCAGAAAGAAAAGACTTACTTTTAAGGGCGCATCACCATTGGCAAAGTTATTTATTATGGATAGAGACTGCTGAAAACGTGATCCTCCGATTCCTGCATCGGCTATCAGCTGGCTAACAGCTTTGATCAGCTATGAAACGAGAGAGGAGAGAAGGAGCACAATGACACATTTCTGTTAGTCTTGCAAAAGGTCTCGCAAGGATCAAAAGACAAAGTTCTCTACAAGATGTTCGGAAATGATTCAGAGATAGGCAGCGCTGCAATGCGAGCTCTTAAAATACGGCAGAGATTATATCTGTGAGGCCGTCGTGTCTTATTCACAAAATGACTTGGTTTATTTGATCCTTGATGGAACACAATAGCAACTGGAATGCTAAAATCACCCAGTCAGCTTCCGTATTCATAGCGCAGTTTCACGATATTGTTGCATGGAAAAGGGTGACAAAAGCTTACACTGTCCCATTTTTTCCGTGTGTGTTGTCAAAAATATGAAAATTGTGAGCAACAAAACACACAGTTGCAGTGAGAACTTCTAACTTGTGAGATCTCAAGTCATTCTGTTCAATGCTCAGGATGACATAAACAGGCAATTTATGAAAATGAAATGAATTTATGGAAATGAAAATTAAAATTGATGCGAACCATTATTCACAGCATTGTAGACAGAAGAGAGCTTAAATCAGTTAGCTGTAAAATCCATCTGTTATCCAAAGTGCACTAAGAATGTTGAGTATCACACTGAAACCTGCAATCCAGGCTCGCTCATCAATATCTGTTTTAAGGTATTGTCTCTAGTGGAAATCAATACATTTTAATTTGAGAATTAAGGAGTATCATTCGACCAGATGAAGAAGTCTCCTCTCTTTTGTTAAGCATTTATCAGTTCAAAGGAAAGGAAATTCCATTTCAGGTGATCTAGATTTAGAGCACTTGAAAAATTTATATTCAGTTTATTATATTCCAGGGAAGGATCTAGAATCATCAGCATTAGGAAGGTTTATTTCAATGCTAGCACTAACCTGCAAATGAGATCGCACGATGGACTTCCCCTTGGTGAATTCAAAGTTCTTCCTCATGAAGAAATAGAGCAGGGCAGACGCCTCGGTCTGTGTAGAACTGGACCTGTGGTTGCAGCACTTCAGAATCTCGTAGCACAACGACCCACAGAGGTCAGCTTTTCCTTGGAAGAAAGCTGAAGGAAACTATAGCGAAAAAGAAAAAAAAGTGATCACACTAGGTCTTAGATAGCTAGATAATACTTTATAAATCCCGTAGGGAAATTGATGTGTTACAGCAGTCCAGCCCAAGACAAGCAAAACAGACATCAGAATAGTTATAAAACAAAAGACAAACAAAATAAATAAAAATAAATAAATACATAGGTGTGTGCAAAATGTGCTGATCATAGTCACTGTAAAAACAAAATATGTGCAAAATGTGCATAGGTTATGTTTCTGCTTTCATAAGCATCATAACTTTCAAATGACCAATTACTAGGCAACCAATATAACTACTGTATATGTCCACCAGCATCCTTTTGTATTCAAACACTTAAGAATATTGCCTGTTATTTCTATTCCAGTAATGACCCTTCTACAGATATTTTTAAACAGCAGTACATCAGTAAGCCCTTTTCTAACATGCTCTAAAATGAAGGGACAATTATAACTTTACAGTCCCAATGCCATGTGTTCAATGTCTGGAATATGTGTTTGAATAAGGATACAAAATGTATCAGAGAGCGAATCACCTTGTGGATGAAGAACCGCAAAGCTGCAAACACATGTTTAAGCGCAGCGGTGGACTGATTGATTTGGAAGAACAGGAGATAGGTATCGAAGACCTTTCTCATCAGGGAATTCTGGCCATCATCCTGCTGCAGTTGTTTCTGAATGGAAATGATCAAATTTAAAAAAAAACATCAATACTAAGATAATTCCCTATAGTTGTTATATTATTATAATGTACAATGTAAAGTGTGGGCCATACATACTGTAAGTATAATACATTGTAATTGGATTTTTAATTATATTTGCAATGCTGTTTCAATGCTTTTTTCTTTTGCATACTCCAATTACTGTACATTATGATTCATTGTTTTTTATTTTCTTGTCTTACTACAGAACTTTTATATAAGCAGTCTTAGCCAGAACTGATAATCTCACTGTTGCTTGCCCATCACCACGTTCATCATTAAATAACAAACTGTCCAGAATATTAGGATTCCAAGCAATTAGGGTTGCAAAGACCAGTGTCATCTGAACACGAAATGCTGAAGTAGTATGGTATGAGCAAAAACAAAAGAAAAGAAAAGAATACATTTAGATATGTGTTGATCACAAACATTGACAATCTGATTAACATGATGGTTCACCTGGTACAACATAAAAAACTACTTTCTTCTCCTACAGTCTACAGCTCAAATTCAATGTCAGTTTCATTTACCTTATGGTGCTGTGTAAAAAGTCCAAGTATATCCAGGACAGTAAGGCAGACTTCGGTGGCAACATTTGCTTCTATATCTGTAGGGTTTATGGAGTCTGTCTCAGCCACGTTGCTGTCTAAGAGCAAACACAGACATAAGATAACACATTTGAAGACAAATCATGGAAGTCAGTGGATGGCTGTTAAACACTGACTTTATATTTGAAAGAGCACACCATTTTTTTAATACTCACACAACTACAATAACTTTATACTGCATTTCACTCTATATAATGTGAATGCAGCCACATTTCTTGCAGCAGCGCGATGCATTTTCCAATGGAGTAAAAACGTTTAAAAAGCTCTCCCCGTACTAAAATACAATCACCACTGAAGTCAGTCAGAGCCTGTTTGAAAACACTAGGTTCAAGCATCCACAGTAAGAAGACTTACTGGAATTTGCATTGGCATTTTCCATCATTTGCAGCAGTTTGGGGTTTGAAAGCGGATTCTTCCCTCGTATGATGGGCATGGTCTGGGAGCGCGCGTGTCTGTGGCCGTCCTGACTCGAGTGCATCCTGATGATGTGGGGAGAACAAGCAGACAGCATCTCAACAACCACAGCCCTGTCAGAACTCCTGGCCCTCCAGAAACCCCAGCCTTGCTGCTTTCAGGAACACAGAAACTATTTAACAGGCATTTCAGAGGTTTTACTCTAAAGTAGTATTCATAATCTAAAACAATCCCCTCTAAAGACTTCTATCGCTTTAAAAAGGAACATTGAAAGACATAGTATTAAGGTATTCATTGAATAAGGGACACAGCACACATTGTGGACAAGTCTACTTTCTAAAATTGTTGTTTATTATCAGTTCTTAAGAGTTTTACAAACAAGAGAATGAAGGTTTACTTAGGTGTAGAAAACAAAGAACTCCCATGAATGATATGAGGAATGAGTGCTATTGTGTTATGTATAAAACAATGCTTTTTATATTAATGACAAAATGTTCTTACTGGGATATATAAATACAAATCACCTCAAGGTGAATCCCATTGTTTTAGTTGTAAATATACTGTATGGTTTATCAGTAATTGTATATAATTAACAAGTGCTGTAGAATTGTATTGTTTTTAAGATTTATCCTACACTACGTCATTAGCTAACAGACAAATGCAAGCACAGTAACCAGCTTTCAGGACAACAATCTTAATCAAAATCAGAGGACATACTGTATGAAAAAACTACGCTGACACATTAATTAAGCAATTGTATGTGGTGAAATTCATGACTGTGACACCCAAGCAGCAAATGCTTTATGAGCATGTTCATTACATCATGTATCTAGTGGGTAGGTGTCCCTTCATCTATCGGATTTCAAACCCGGGCTCGGAACTGGATGTGTTTACCATTGTGAAAGAAGACCAGTGGCTTGAGAAGAGCTAGACCCTTTGAGAGTGCCATTGTTCTGGGTGGCCTGTGCGAGTTTAACTGCCGCAGCTAACTTCCTGTACACATTGAATGAAACCAACATAAAAAAAATCAGGTGGAGGTTACTATTGTTATTATTAACTATTATCTACTACATGCGAGAGGAAGCAAAGCAGTAGGGGCAGTGTAGTATTGTGTAAGTAGCGTTAGTAATATCAGTGTGAATGATTAGAATTATTAGTAGCTAGTTTAGGAGTAGTGTAAAAAAAGGATTCTGAACTTTGCCTCCAACATCTCCTATATTATCTGTCTTTCAAGGTAATATCAACTTACAGGTAAAGCCATGAAGACTAATTGTGAGACAGCTAAATAAATTGTTTGATCTCTCTTCGTATCTAAATATAACTCCTGGGTAACCATACTTCTTCTGTAGAAATAAATGAAAATAAATCTATATGAAGAGATATGAAAAGGTCTAGAAACATTGTCAGTTAACATTTAGACAGTGAATATAATACTGTAGGTACTGGAGCATTAGCTCAGACAAAAACCACATCTCTATTAAAGTTAAATTACAATAATTAATTTGATGGAACCCATTGTACATTGTTTTGTGAAATAATTTAATCCGGTGTCCCACCTGCCAAATACAGTACATCTTCTATGACTGAACGCTACAGGTCTTCACTGTGTCATTTGGTTTTTAATTATGTTTGGCTTTAAATAAGGAACTTGACTACTGTCAGTCTGTCTCAACTAATCTGGCTCCACTGGAGGCTTTCATTCTGAGGGACTGGGACAGGGTAATTAATGAGGCCTCTTGGAATTTCTTCTGTAAATACATCTGAATTAGTTCATTTTAGATGTTTTAAGCAAATTAGGTCTTGCAAGTTGCAACACAACCTTAATGTGAAGGTACAGAAGGGGCCCAACATTTTTTTAATTTATTTTACAGACAACACTCTATTATTCAATAAATGCAAGGGAAGACTGTTTCAAAGACCAAAGGCAAATTTTTGACAATGTCAAGTTGGCTGTCTTTACAAACTCTAATTAAAAAGAGGTGAAGAGGTTTCTGTCCAGTGGTGAAGATGGAAATTCTGAGTTTTAAAAGAACAGTTTTATTCTCAAAAGCACTGCAAAGCAAGGGGCAAATGAGCACAGCTCAAATTCACTATGTCAGATATTGACTTGATCAGTAACAACAGAGTTGCCATGATGTGAGTTATAAATATATGTCTACAATTGCTATTATGCAATTGTGATTTATCTCAATCATGGTAACTGTTAATACTGATGAAATCTGGAAAGTCCAGCTTGGTAGGGAAAGAGAGGCTGTAGACTAATCAGATAATTGCTAATGAAGTAGGAATAAAAAGACTGAAACACAGGGTGATAAAAGATGAAATGAGAACAGAAATGAAGGCTTATCATATTTTTAACAAAACACAAATATCACATTGAGAAACAGTTTGTTTAATACAACCCAGAGATGAAAGACAATGCCAGTGTGAAAACTGCACAAATGGCAAATTTACAGCTATTTTTCTGTGGGAAAAACAATTGTATCAGTACCAAATCACAACCTTTTCTTTTTTTCCAGTTGAGGTAGCCACAGAATTAAAATGAACATGAACAAAATCGAGAAAATCACCAAACTAGTATGTCATATTACCAAATTATCCCTTAAGAAAATTACCGTGACCATTTTACCAGGTATTTGTCATGTATTTGTACCATCTTACCAATATTATCATATTTCTGGAACCCGAATAGTGTAATTAAAACAGAATCCTAGGCATATTTGTCATGCCTTTGTGAGAGTGTTTATATTTTTCTCTCAGTTTACTAACAAGGCATGTTAAATCAATTTCAGTGTCTAAGGAAATAGGGTATCTTATTTAAATTCCTAACATATTTTTATATTCCACAGCTATGAATGGCTGCACATTGTCTTTACTGTGTTCACACTGGCAAATATGTGTACTAATTTACTAAGCAACGACAAAGCTAAAGAGTCATAAAAAGAGATTATTTTTTAACATAGCTTCAGAGTAACTTGTTTTCTGTGTTTGTTACACAAAGAGAAGGTGTAGAATTATATATGTTACACACATTAATTATATAAATTCATTTAATATTATTACCAATAAATACTCCAAGATAAATCATACTTACCAAAACAATGCAGTTAAGTTTTGGATAATCATTTGATATTGTATTTTCTAAGTAAGGAATCCATACAGCAAGAAAGGGCGATATTGACATATTCAACAAAACGTCTACCTTTTGTCCTGGTACAATATATACTGTATGTACTGTAGATAGCAGAAACTGAATAAAACTGTATTCATTATTCTTTCAAATCAAATTACGCTCTGCATTTAGGAACACATCAACAGTGTTTATTTTATCCACAGCATGCCTGACAAGTCAAGTAAATTAAGAGGATGTAAAACCACATTTCATGCAAAGAACAGAGACAAGTACTCATAACAGATAATGCCTGTGTAATGTAAAGTACTTACCTAGCTATATGCCTCTTCCCCAGAAATCTAAAGTGCTGGAGACACAGCCTTAATGGAAGAATGCAACATTTTAGTTTGGGAATCTAATACGTATTTTATACAATGGCATACATGTAGCTGTATTTATCAGATAATATGCTGCAACATCAATAAATGGTCTCTGGAGATTTTCTTTTGGAGAAATTATTTTAAAAAGGCTAGCTTGACAAATCAATTCATAACAGACTTATGGGTGAAGGTAAAAGAAATATAAAAGTCGATATTAAAGTTTATCTCACCCTTTTCTCTGTATTACTAACTCATACATTTCAGATCTTTTTTGTTTCAACAAAAACTCCTGGACTCTCATTTTCTAGACAAGTCATTTGTCTGAAAAAAAGAGCTTGTTTCTCATCAGCAATCACTTCTTTGTTTTTAGGGATTTTGTAGACTAATGAGGTTTTTATCTTGATCATCAGTAGATGGGTTTATTACTAATAAGTGAGTGGAAACTGAGACTGTAACAGAATTAATGAGCACAATTAGTGCTCCAGCCAAGCATATGGCATGTCACGCACACTGTACTATGGGTACAATTCAAACACTGGGAGAAATCTGTTGGTTGTCTTAAGTTTGAAGGATTCATTACTCAGAACCAGCATGTCTATTTATTCTATTCTGGCATCTTTGTGCTTTGACATTTAATGCTTGTTTGGCAGATGTTTCACTAAACACAACAGCACTATGAAAAAGGGGAACAAAAGACAAGTGAAGACTGAGTGATGAATGGATTAATAAGCACTCACTCTAAAATGTTGAAGAAGTCCGAAATTTCCTGGTGCACAGCTCTGTGCCAGTAGGAGACCATCACATCTGTAAAGAGAGCTGTTCATGAATTCTGCTACTATCTCGCCCTAAATTTTCCAAATCTTGTATTTGGCATTTTAATCATTCTAAACTAAGTAAATGTGATAAACATTTTGAATAATCACAACAACTACTTATTAGTAAAAACCATATTGACAAAATATTTTTAAGCTGTAAGACGTTTTACATTTAAGCAAATACTCTAAGTGCATACAGGCATCAAAAGCAATGGATTACAGATCATTATCTGATTCAAAGCTACAAGGTTTGCATGCAACTTTTAGATGAAATGGTAAATATAGATGACTGTACTGTATTAAAAAGTTTGAGGATTGGGGGAGCTTTCTTATGTATATGCCAGATAGCAGATTGTTAGGGAAAAAAAGCCACAGTCCTTGAGTGGCAGATGGGCAGATGGCAGCGCTTTACCCTCGGAGATCGTTTTCATTATGTGCAGGAAACACATGAGCAGACTTCTCGTCTCCGCCTGGTCCAGCTTATCGAACCGAAGGGCCGATCCAATCAACGACAAGGGTCGGGCAATCTTCATGAAGAGAAAAACGGAGAGAGTCCCATATAAATCGCTTATCTGTTTTGAATGCGCACCAATTCAAACTGCCTTTTCTCCCTTCTGATCTTGATTCTCTGGTATCAGGTGAAATAGCACATCGCCTGTTGCGCACATCTGATGGTTTCCAATGGAAACGGAATTCGGTGGCAGCCCAAAACATGGTTTTAATACGAAGCAAGACATGTTATCCGTGGTTTCACCAGCTTTGGGCCCAGGAAAAGTCTACATTAACACATCGTCACGCTGCTGTACCTTCTCACAGGTGTCCGTTTTCTCACTGTTCTTATCACTCGTGCTGGGATTCGACTCGATACTTATCAGGGAACCTCTCGAGTCCGCATTGTTTGCAGTCGACACCGCCAGCGACGAGAAGGCTGTTGAGAAAGGGACAGAAGGGTTGCAGCTCAGATGGACTTTAAGGAGGCCTGGACTTGCCCATTCGTCAGGCTGATAACATATACTTACCCGTGATGGAGTTCAGCACCTCTTTGGAAAAGGAAGTGTCCACTGAGTTTGCATGTCTTAAAGCTAGGGCCATCTGACTCTGTAGTCCGCCTCCCACACTCAGGTCATCCCGGGAGCCCTGCAGTGGGAGACACAGTTTCAGAATTGAACGGGAGCAAGGGGCAGCTTTCATTACGGGTTAAAATAACAAGTTCCAGGACAGGCTATGCCTGTAGACACTGGAGCCCCTCTCTTCTCCACCTTCCAACATTGCCAGTCAGCTCGGCAGTGACTAAAAAGAATCTAAAAGATCTTTCCAATGTAGTCCTCCTCCCCTCTTTACCACGCAAGAATAGACAAAAAGAGTTTTTGGTGGAATAGTTCAATATGCATGTATGTCACATTTGAAACAAATATTATTTTTCTGAATTTTTGAGAACTTTGTGAGGTTTTTAAATTGAGCTTTCTGCTGCAGTCTGTGTCCTGTTATATCCCAAGCAAAACACTTCAGGAATGAAAGCATACTCTATAGAATAAATACAGACTGAGGCCATGTGCAATAGGACACATTCACAAGCAAGTAACTAAGAGAAACATCACAACAGCGACAACATCACAGAAAGTTGAACATATATACAGTACTAGCAATTTAAGAACTGCTAACCTCTGCTGAGGGCTGTGTCAGTAGCTAATCAGGAATATGTTTAGAGACAGATTTGTATGAAGACCTTATCTCTTAAAGAGCTAAATATAGCAGGCCATCCTGTAACCTCTATTAAGATATCTTCAACTATCTTTGAAAACGCTCACAAAGAATCTAAAAGGAAATGGAGTGCTTCTTGCAATAGGAAGATACTGAAATGATAGGAAGTATTCATCACTTCTTTGAAAATGCTGATGTCTTTGTAATAAAAGCTTATAGTGAAGTCATTTTTAACACTGACACAATTAAAAGAAGATGAAGAAAGATGATAAATTCTGGTGAGAATAAAATCTGTGTGAAAGAAAGGTGTGTGTCTCTCATTGTACCGTAGTCTGCTTTCATAGAAATGAAATTGGCTACTAAATCAAATCCTATCTTTTATAACAGACAGGTGTTAAATTCAAAGTTTTATTTAGTGACACACTAATGGCTCAGTATTGGTAGACAGGAGCAGAGGCTTACTTGATCACTGGCGTTGATGTTGAATGGAAACAGATCTCTCATGAAAAAGCGGGGCATGTTGTCAAGAATCAGGCCATACAGAGGGAGATAAAGGGAGGCTATTCTGGCTTGCTTGTTCTGTCAAAAAATCACATTATCATTAGCAGTAAAGGTACAGTTTAAGAAATGAGATAAGAAAGATACAAATAGGTCCTAGTGTTAGGGCCTGCAGTCAGGATATGAGAAATGATACACTGCAATAGAACCGACAGCTGAATCTTTCATTTGGTTTCCTGTGTCTTTTTTCCTTTATAACAAAAATGGATATATAAACTCTTTCATCCAGATGTATTTGATGTACTTATTGTACTGAGAAAGATTCTCTCTGGCAAGTTTCGCTAAATCCAGCTGAAGTCATTTTCATTTCCCATTGTGAATTGCAGCATTTCCTGAACTGGGAGACACCCATTTTAATAGTTTCCTGCTGCAAAATGTCTTTTATAGGGTCTTGCAAAGATCTCTTCTTTTATTCTTTTATATGTGGTACTGTGGATATGTGGTCTCTTTCTCATGGGACAAATAAAACACTAAGCAAGAACCTCAAGCAAAAAAAAAAAAGAAAGCCTACCTTGTCAGTGTATCGCTCATCTAGGGAGTGCTTTGCCATAAGGTTCTTAAGTATAGCAAGAGCCAGGTGCCTTATATCCTGGTCCTCCTGGAGAGCAAAGCCAACCTCACGCAGCAGCAGGCCAGTCAGGAAGTGCTTTCTGCAGTACTCATTGGTTAGGCTGTACTCCGGCACATCTGAGGCAATGGAACAGAATGGCAGGGGACTTTAAATACCTTAAGGCACAGGGGTGGTTAAATATTGCAGTCCTAGCCTGACTTTTTAAATCATTTTCTGGCTTTTCTTGTCTTTTCCTGTATCATCTTTAAACAGGTCAATCTTGAGTCTTTCCCAGAGGGAAGCATTTGCTCAATGAACCCTTGAGGTCCCAGACGTCCTCTCTTCGGTCATTTGGCTCATTGACAAACACGGTTTATTTCATTCTGCAACCTTGTTGATTTGATTGCTCGACAGAAAAGTTAAGAAAGAAAGGCGGTGCAATACAGACCCTGTGTGCTCTGGGATTCTGAAGGCAAATCTTTGTCTGTGAAGAAACAAGAAACAATGTGTTCACAATAAGAAATTTCAGCCCATGACACATTTCTTGCTGCTACCCGTCAGTCGCACACAATACACTGAAGTGTTCCATTTAATTTCTGGTGTTACAGTATGTCTCCATTATGGGGGGAAATTTTTAAACATATTGTACAATTTAGCGAGAAAATCCTTTAGAAGTGCTTTCAGTCTACAGTACAGTATCAGGCTACAATATGATCCCTTAGTTTATGTGGTAAATTTGAAAAAGTTACTGGGATCTCAATCCTAATTGGAAGCCTCTGAATGGCTTCTCATTTTCCTATTGAAGAGTAGTAAAATATTTCTCCTTGTTTATGTAGCAACATAAACATTGTTTATCTTCAGGTGAAGAAGGCTACATGTCCGAAACATTGTGTTTTCTTTCTTCTCTTTTCAGCATGAAATAAACCTATTGGTTGTTCCTTTGCAGCCTACGCATGCTGACGCAGCTGCCCACCTGAACTACTATTAACATCATAGTCTAGTAGTTCTACATTCAACCAAAGCCTTAAGGCATATGCTACCCATATGTAGCCCTTTATATTCATTACCTGTGATCTTTGCAGATGGTATGGGCAGGCTAAGAGGAATGTAGTGCTCATGGTTACACACTTCACGGAGGAACTCAAACTTGAACTCACACAGGGTCTGAAATACAGGAATGAGGTACATTGGCTGCAACAGTAAGGAACCCATGCCTTCTCCTGGGCTGACAAGGCAGTGATGAAATCTCAAGTAGAAAATTGAAAAGCGAGGATTCAACTGCTGCTCGTCAACTAGAGGGTCTGTGTGTTCATTTTGTGTTTCACATTCTTGAAGACAGAAATGGGATGTGTGAATCATAATATACCCAAAAATAACTGTAGTCCACTCTCTTTAATGATGGTAAAATTACTCCCAACACAATGTACTAGAATTAATGACATTGTCCCTTACCTTGTTATCTCCTGACGTAATATTGTTGATGTAATTGTTAATCAGTTTGAATGTGAACCCTCTGTCCATGAATGTGAAACAACGCTGTGGAAAGGAACAGATACAGTTTTAGACACTTAAGCCCATGAACCACAAAATTGTTAGAAGAGTAGGTAAGAATCATAAGGCTTTGTCACGAAGAGCCAAAACATAGTAGGTCTTTAAGGCAAAGTTCCCAGAGACTTGAAACATTTTATGTAAAAGGGGATTTACTGTAAATACGTTATTAAAACATCAATTTGCACCTCTTAATTACTACAAGTGCTTGCCAACTTCTTTATAAAAAAACTTGTAATACTTTATGTCTTTTACAAATTGATGATTTAGGATTATCTATGATCTCTAGAACCAGGGACAGCCACATTCAAAATAACTATCACATGCTAATTTAAGTGAACATATCTGAGTTTTTCTTGTGGAGATGGTGGCAATTATAGGTACAATGTTAAGAACACACATTAAGAACCTTCAGGATACAGACCTGTGCTTTACCTGCTATTTAAGACACTATGAGAAGCAGGGTTCAGTGTTACAATAAAGACATTTTTACCAACCTTCACAAACATTGCAACTGCCAGGTTAGCACTCCTTGTTTCTTCTGAGATAGTCTTGGTTTTCCAGAAAACATGATCAGACGTGGTCATTACCAGTGTTTCTAACATGTTGAGGTACGATGTTGGGAATCTCTCTGGACGTGGCAGCTAAAAAACACATTCAAAATAATACTAAATAATAGGAGAGCTTTGTCAGGACTCCAAACAAATGTTGTTACAAAAATCCAATTGATCAGCTTGTCAAAACAGTAGCTTCATTTACTTGGCTTCTAAAAATGACATTTTATATAATAAAAAGTACTGTGCCTTCTTTACCTTTACTTTATCTGAATCCACGAGATACTGGGCCATCGACTTAATGATGAGCTCAAAAAAGAACCATGAGTACTGTAAAAAAACAAAAATCAATTTATTATAAGATTCTGAAGTACAGTATGCTTCTCTCACATTTATATTCTTTTATAACAACTGCACAAATTTAGTACACCATTCTAAGAAGTCTCCTAAAATATTTAGGATTCAATATCAATTCATATTTTGTACTGTCATGAACTGAATCCTTTTCGTATTGGATTCCAGATGTACCTTGTGGACATGGCATGACTTCTAATGAATAATGAATCCTATAATGAATCTTCATAATGAATCCTATAGAAGCTTGTGAAGGACACATGGAGTCCAACAGCCCACTGTCCTTTGTCACTCAATGTACAGTCCTTGTCTGTTACATCTCACTAACTGCTCAGAAGTAATAGAAGGAGAGAAGAGAGGGACACTAGCAGTCTGAGCGTGTGTCTTTGATGAGATTCCTTACTGTGTGAACATGCGTTAATATTCAGGTCAGAGTCGTACAAGAAATGACGGTGTGACTCAAAGCTCTATGTGTCTCTTGGATTTGGGTCAGATGGGTGAAAAAGCCACCGATTACAATTTCAGTTTGAAAGCTTGTCAGAGCAACTTAGACTGATCTTTACATGGAGAGCCTGGGTAGGGCATCATGCGTATCTCACAGATTTGCAATATGCCACAGTAGTCATGACAGACTGCATAACTGAACATTCAAAACTTTAGCTACAATGTTTGCTGCAGCAGATTATTTCATTTAAGGAAGAAAATTCCCGTTACATTATATGCAATTAATTAACATTCAATAAATGCAATCAATGTATATGCAGCACAAATGAATTGTGGCATGTTTACAGCATGACCTTGAAACAGATATGTTATATGTGTATTTAATTTCTCGCATCAGAACTAATACAGTAAGCTCATGAATAAGATTTATTTTTCAAAATAACACATAGTGAACTGTGTCATTATCCAAGAAAATAGTTCTGATCTAATATCCTCTAACGTAAAATACATTTTACCTTGAGTATATTTTTCACTACGTCTGTGTCATTGCTTTTCAGATCCAAATTCATTCCCTTTGCAAGTTCTTCATGCACAGTTTTCTCCCCGTGGGATTCTGTCTTGAAAACAAACTGCACAACACAAAAAAGTACAAAAAATAAATTTCTCTTCACTTACACATGATAGAGAGCAAAACCACTGTCAGCACCACTTAATGTTTTATTGTTATTTTACAAATTAAAGGAGACAGTCCCAAGATAAACATTACAGAATACAATCATAATACAATTCAAAGAGAACAGACATCTCAAAACCGTAATGACTGAATTATATTTATATATATATTTTGCTGATAATCGTATCCAACTTATACCCATTTATAAAGATGGGCATTTTTACAGTAGTGCTTTGCTCAATCATACAACAGTTGTGCCACCAGCTAATCCAGAAAGTTGACAACTATTCCACACCATTGCCCTGACACCAAGCCTTAAAGTAAACTGAAACTTGCTACAGCAAACTCTAAATTTTATTAGGCATTTTGTAAAATAAACACTGTAGCATTGTTATACTGTTTCAATCTGCTTTAATCATCTGTGTTAACCCAGAATCTCACAAAGCACTTGAGACTGCTGATTCTTGGAACTGCAAGAGGGGAGAGTGCACCCCTATATCCCACAATCTGCACAAATCCTTTCAAAACAACATGCTACTTAGATTCAGATTTACAGACATGAATTTCAGAGCCCCATCTGTACAGGACTTTCTGATCAACGTCATTTCTAGTGACATGTTGTATATGAAGACGATTAAAGACTTTCCTGGTAAGATGTTGAAATGTCAAATTTAAAACCTACTTTCCCCCCTTCTCGTCTCATTTCTTGTCTTTCTTGTTATTTACACCACAGAATTTGACCTTGTTGGAAGGGGGCTTACTTATTCATTCTTTCCCACTGTCATTTCTGAAATAATCTGCTCATTATATTATATATTTATTATACACTGTTGTGCACTGTTGTGTCACTGAACTGAACAATAAATAGCCTAAAACACAACATACAGCTCCTCACTATTCCTATTTAAGATGAAAAGATTTATATTTGTAACCACCAATATAACCTACAGTACAGGCTTCAATTTATAATCTCTGTTTACAAAAACTGTCTTATATTTTCTCTTTTGTTGTACCCATGTTAAGAGAGTTTTTACTATGCAAAACCATGGCTTATACTGGCAGTGACAGAGGATGGCATAGCCCCTAGGTGTTCCTTAAATAACAGACTTAGCAGAAGCTCATCTGACCTCCAGTTGGACACGGTGCCAAGCAGTCACTATGGCAACTCTAACCCTATCGCCACAGTTCTGAAAGGATCAAGGGCTCTGTTCCTCTGTGCTGCTGTTTTCAAAAAGGGAAGCCTTCACATTTTACAGTTCCCCCAGGGCTTTTTCTGAATAAAACACCAACAGAAGGAGTGAAATATGGTTTTTCTCTTCAAAGCACAGCCTGTCACAGCCTGTAGTATATGGGGCAGGGGTCTAGCCTAAAGCCTTTAGTAAAGGCCATGACTCTCTTCAAAACAATGACTTGTTTTAGTTATTTGAATGATCCATTTTACATTTGAATTAATGTCCATAAGAGACAAGAAAACTGGTTTAAAATGGTGTGTTATTCACAGGAATAAGGTGGGCCAGACAATATTTCCTTGCCAAGTACATAATGAAGGGAGGAAAAGGAACTTTAGCACTGTAGTTTGTCATCTCAACAATATCCCCAGGCCAAAGTCAATGAACAAACTGCGGCCTTTACTTTTTATATTGGAAAACCACATATACAGTACAGACTGCACTGGATACTTCCAGGTGTTTCTGGATTCTCTTCGAGTCTTTGGAACATGCACAGCACCGAACCTTGGCAAAAAAGTCACATTTTGATTTTTAAAGTATACCTTTATATAGGAGTGAAGATAGTGGTCTAGGTGATGCTCATGACACTTGGCAACAATGTGAACCAGCACCCTGTAAGAGAAAGGCAGTGTGACTTTGAGAAAATAAGAAATATTATTGATTGCAGTAGCTGCCATCTAGACTATTATGTTTGTCTAAGTGTTCCTGCTTGATCGTAAAGCCTAAGTGCACTAGTTCTCTCAAGAACCAGATCCATAAATCTTCATCCACGTCTTGTATTAAAATTTTTCTTCATTTTATAGAAAACAATAACTGATGATAATGCGTTAATCTCTTCTGTGTATGGCTGCTATTGGATTTTTTTTATTTACAAGCTAGTTCTTCACATTATGGTTTGCCAATTGTACTGCTCTGCATTAAACAACATTTATCTTAATGTTCCAGTTTCTAGAGCCCTCACAAGGAAATGTACTTTTTCTATTCCATATGCTTCTAACTCTGTCTCTCCCATTAAATTAATCTAATCAGTACCCAGCCAAGTGCTCAGCATGCTTTGTTATGCTCTCTTGAAACTCGAGAAAACAAAATCAGAAACAGTGCCAGGAGAGATTTTATAGCAGTCTTGTAGAATGACACACTACCAAATTATCTAGGAGCAAGATGTCTCAGAAAGACTAATAACACTGCAGAAAGACAGAGGAAGATGCAGGCAGCTAAAAGTGCCTATTTTATACAGTATAGCTGAAGTACATTCTGTGATGTTAGGAAAGAAAAAATGCAAACATGTCTGCAGGCACACATTTGTGTGCATGACTTAAAACACGTTAGTGTTTTGCCTTTTCATACTTCACTAAGGAGGTGTTGAGAAACATACTGCTCGTAAGTCCTTACTGTGGGCAAACACTCTACGTTTGATTAAGTCGATCAGCAACGCACTCCCACTGAGTCCCAACTCTCGTCAGTACAAAACCAGACCTGAACAATCAAGGCCAGAGCCTTGCAGTTCCAGCCTTTACCTTGAGGTGGCAGTGATGACTTCTTCGTCATCGTTCTGGATCAGAACTTTGAACAGCTGATTGAAGAGGACTGGGAGGAACCGTATGATCACATGTATTTTCTCCATGCTGAGCAGACCCTGTTGTAAGCAAACAAGTTACACAACTTTTACAGTATATGAAGAATATGCAGAATTTCTTATTTAAAACTGGGAAACATTTTAAACCAAATAAGTTCAGATATAATCTAGACTTCCTGTGTTTGTCTGCTTTGGAAACTAAACACCTAAACGTCCCTAAAACAGGAAATTAGTAACTGTTACTGTACTTTTGTTTAAAAACAAATACCTAAACTAGTAATGCTGATCTAAAGCTTATTAAGTACTACAATAATTAACTAAATTTTCTTAACTTTAAGCAAAATATAGTAAATAGTATCCAGTCAAAGTATAACCAAGCTTCATTTGCCTGAAATACTGTACCTTTAGGCTGTTAACGAAGTTTAAGGCAGGAGGTTGAAAAAGTTCGGTTTCTCTTTTTTGGCACTGCTGAAAGAATCGGTTCAGATGTGGATCCTGTAAATTGAAAATAGCATTATAATATCAAAAAAATATTAGTGATATTTTGCTTTGATTCTATATTCTTACTGCAATAAAAACTGTAGTTATTATAAAAGGAGAAACAGAAAGCTCCCTCTGCTGCTTTTGAAGGTATTATCTGTGTGTAATATACCAGTGAACTTCTGTTAATTATGACCAATTAAAAAATGCAGAAAAGTTTCTAAGGGAAACTACTTTGAAAAACTAATGGCCACACCATGAAGGCAGTGGGCATATTCTGAAAACTTAGATGCACCTTCAGTACAAAAGAATGCAACCACAGTGTCATCTGGAAATGCTACAGAATAAAACACAATAAAATACTGTGTTGCAACAATATAAGAATTCCCGTGCGGAATTGATATGGATGGTCTAAGAAGAAACACAAGTATGAAATAACATTTTGAAATGAGTCAAAAATCCTCACTGAAATGAAATAATATCTCATGAATATGAGAACAATTGCATATGTAAATTTGTTCTCTTACCTGAGTGTATACCGTTGACACAACGTATGTAGACACTTTAAAAATCGGCTTGCCTCCATCCACCCACTTTATGTCTGCCCCATTTTGCTGCAATATTGAATTTGTATTCTGTTAGTGTTTTACACAAAAAAATATCTATGTAAAAGCATGTTTTATGAAAAAAAACTTAAATATGCCCCCCAAAAGAATGCATTAAATATGTATGTAAGAATTTCTTAAGCAGATATTCAATAAGGGAAAATAAGCCAACACAGAATCTTAGAATATTCCTGTTGTAGCTTCTTGATTACTTTAAAGACCTAATTAAACAATAATGAAAAACATGGCAAGTCCTTCCGAAACTGGTGATATAACAAAATTAAGTTTTCTTTATGTTTTTCCAATTTTATTATATCCCAGCATGAAAAATTAAAAGGCGATGTGTCTTTTCATCCCAGCTTCCCGCTCTCTGACCTTTCCTGATCCTGATCCAGGGTCCTTGACATGGAGGTAGGCTGGAGGCAGGGCACTGGCCACAGGGATATGATTCTCCTGAGAGATGAGTCTGCCTTCTTTCAGTAACGGGAGCCAGGCAAAACCAACTAAAACAAAAAGAAATGCAGTTGCATCCGGGTGATTCCAGAGGAGATGAGAAATCACTGCACTGCATAGAAATAATACACATGTTAAAGACTAACCAATAAAGAATAACTTGGCTCCTGTTTTGTGGCACATTTCACTTTGACTTGTACTGTATATACTATAGCATTGGCATACTGTGTAACACTTCCATCAACACTGCGCAACATGATATCGCTGCATCCCTTTCCAGTCCTTTGTGCAAATGACATTACAGGCATGTGATTATTTGTAATGGTTCAGAACAAGGCATACTTTCAGATGAGAGCAGAATTCCAGGTAGAAGGAAGCCAGGCGAATATGTTGGAAGACATTGCTGAGGACCTGAAGGCTGACAAGGCCTTTCTGCAGATGCAACTCTGTATCAAAGGCCCTGGTCTGTTTAGCTTACATTTTAGATTGCTACACAGTTCTTGCGCATGTTAGTTGGGACATACAGAATTAACCAAAAGAACAATGACCATTCAACTCGTTCCTCTTTAGGGCACTTTGAGATGGGACTAGATACGTAAAAGGTAGAACTTCTCAAAACTGAAATACAATAATCTGAGAATTCGGTATTCTGTCAATGATGAGATGAAAATCACTACTTAATGCAGTAAATGTGCAATACAGTTTTTCACAACAATGACACGAGACATTGAGACATGAGACAATATCTGCGTTCTGAGGGGAATAATTGGAATTAGTTAAACAAAAACAAAGAGTGTGAAGGGACCTCTGGAATACAATATGCTTTACGGAAGACTTGTAACTGACAGACAGGGAATAGGGACGAAACATCATCACCAATGACTTTCTGACATAGCCTGACAATACTCTCCAGTATGTTTTTCAGACTCCCAAACCAGAAAATCAAGGTAAAAGTTAAAGCAGAAGTTCAATTAGAAGATCGACAACAATGATGTGACACAGGCCTGATCAAAAATGCCGATCCCATAACGTTTTTCACTTCCGGTGACCGCACCTGCAGTTTCCAGAGCTTCTTTCTTCTTGGCGTTAGTCTTGGCATTGATGTCACAAGTTACATGATAGAAAGAAAAGAGGATGTGATGCTTCTCGTGAAGCTGAATTGGAAGTTCGATTTTAACCTGGAGAGAAGAGGCAAGTCACTGTTAATAATGTGGATACCACCACCCTCGGAAGTTACCACAACACTGTTATTCAGGAATTGATTTACTTAAATGAATGTAATGATTGATGTTATTAATCTAGTTATTTATCAATAATCAGTGATAATTAATTAATAACCACTTATTCATCTTACGCAGCAGAGGTAAAGACACCAGGTGAATTAACGAGGATATTTATTGTACATCTCTATACATGAATCTCAAACTATGACACAAGAGCTGACCTCATCATAGAAATCAGGGTTCTGTGAATGATGGAGAACTGTCGTGCAGGCTGCCGTGGTAAAAACTGGCCCCCCTGGTTTTCCATATATGCACTGCAACAGGAAAGGAGGAACAGTTACATGGAAAACAGCCCTGCGACATAAGGCACACACCATGGGAGACACATTTGGGTTTCCATGCTGTAAGTCAATACAGAGGCACCTATGGAGTGCTTAGTTAAAAAAAAAAACATCTTTGGAAAATAATTGTCGGATATTACCTTCAGGGGTTTGGCACCGTCCTCATCCGAGCTTCGGAATTCGATGCACACTGCTATGTTTCTTGCCTGCAAACAGTGTACAAATCAGACTGCGCATTCCAAATGTTCAGTCGGTATGTCTTATTCTACAGGATTGACTTTTTAAACATTTGAATCACACAACCAAACATCTTCTCAGAGTAATAGCCAAAAGATTGAACGCAGCCCACCTTAGCGAACGTTTTCTGGCTGTCGTACTTGAGATGTTTGGGGTAGATGTAGATCTGGTTCTTGTACACTCTGTATGGCTGAGAGTACTTGGCTGACTCATGCACGAATTCTTCAACCTCTACTGTCGCTTGATGTTCACCTTCTTCAAAAGGTTTTATAGGTACATAGGATGACGTAACACAGTCTGCAGTGGAAATGAAGAAGATGTACAGTATAATTAAAACATAAAATCTAGCAAAGTACTAAAAATCAATTAATAATACTTTTTACTTGTCATTAAGAAGTGCACTCAAAGGACAGATGATTCATTATGAGATTTTCATTAAAATGAATGTCTAATTAATTTATTAAGCTTAAACAGACTATAATTGCTTTTTTATAAAAGCTGAAAGAAAGATCATAAAATAAAACCTAAGTGACAAAAAACCTGACTACATTACATAATAAAGTGTCATTTTCAACATGCCGAAAGATATGGGAAGGAGAAAATTCAGCCAGCTACTTTCTTTACAAAACAAAATGCACTGAAGAATCACCTACAGTATATGATAGGTAAATGCAACATATGTGATACATGTACAGTACCTAGAAGTATTAAAGGTGTTAGAGAGTTTTTTTTTTTCGAAAACAGTCCATTTAAAACTTACAAATGCAGTTACTGAGAACCTGCCGAGAAGGCAGCCCTGTTTGTGTGTGAAAGAAATCTAGATGACCTACTTGGGTGCTCCATTGGGACACAATCCACTGTGATCTCCAGGCTTCCAGGAATGGTCTGCAGTTTGCTGGTCTTCTCTGCCCTGCCAGCAGTAAATGATCACTTGTAACTCATGGACCATTCATTACAATAGAGGCTGGACCAATGTTCTCTTGCACATATACTAGACAGTACCTGCAATATATTCTACTCAGTTTTCGCTCAAGATACAGGTAGTTGTTGACTTGTGCTTTCAGAATTTGAATGTTTTGGGTTAAGGTGCTAAAGACCACTTCTTAATTTCGGAGGCTTTAGTTCTCACTAACTCTTCGGTGCGGCGAACAACAAGCAATTTGGCGGAGTGTTTGAGGCAGTATAGGTATCAAAAGAGTTGCCTGGATCCTTCCAGCCGGGCATCCTTCATGCCCCATCATCTTGAAATTACTATACATCTTTTAAAATCTATAAAATGTCTTTGCCTTGATACTATGTACCTGATACTATGTTTATATTTTGAATGGTATAATTACCTTTTCAAAGTATATACAGTACTTCTTCTCATGAAATCTAGTATAGAATGATATTGGACTTCTAAATGTGAGATTGTTATCCTGTTTCCAAATTTAAAAATCAGACAAGCACAGTGCATTTCCTGTTGACAAGTGTATTTTTACTTCACCTGGATGACATTCAAAAGCAAGAAAATAAATTGTTTGGCAGGCTAAGAGATCACTTTTATGCACGGAGCTATTTTGGTCACAGAAGAGAAAGAACCCTTTAAGTGTTTCTTTTCAAGCTATCATGGATATGAGACTGCTGTACTTTCCAAGCTAAAGAGCTGTTAAAGCAATTTGTGGAAATTCTTTTATTTTTAATAGATTTTTTTTTACCTTCTGTAGTCAGATATTACTTTGAGCAGGTCTTCGGTCGAGATTTTGCTGCTGTCTTGCTTGAACAAGGGTGAGAAACGCGAATCCCGATCTACAGTTCCATCGTTGTCTTTGAAAACTGGCCTGCCAAAGACCGAGCAAGAAATAAGAAACAATGAAATTCTATTTAATTTAAAATGTTGGAGTATGTTCTGCAAATTCATTGTGAATCTGTGGCTAATGAGGGACCATCCAGTGTACCATGCATTAATCCAAACTCATTTAAAAAACAGCTCGGAACAGAAGAGCAAACTTATCTCCTTTCTGGGGGAGACATACAATAGCTGATGTAGATTAACATAATCTTAAATTCAGTAAGATAATTTTTTTTCTGTGGGAAATCATGTCACATATTACATTTTTTGACCCCCTTAATGGATTTGGATGGTTGTCTTGAGAGGTGTAAGACTTTCACTATCCTTGACCAGAGAAATCTCAATCCCACTCAAATCTGATAGAAGGGATGTCATACACATTATTGCTCTCAATCCAGCTTCAATTGCACATGTTGCTGCTTGAGAAATTGAATCATTAGTGAGTGTATTTACACCTCCATTCAGGACATGAACTTGGAAATCGATATTTCACCCTACTGTAAGTTTCTAAATGTGTGTTTGCAATATGCTACATTGAATTGATTTGTCTCACTCCATTTACCAACCGTTGAAGTCTCTTGTAAATCAGGATTCACATTAAGAACTTGTTCTGTACATATTCAATGCTGTGAAAAAAAAAACAACCTAAGACAGAACATTAAGAAACAGTACTGTATTTGGCAAAGAAAGGAAGTGAATGGACTGCATTAATGAATCAAATGGAGAAGCTTAAGAGTTTTTTAGCTGCAAAATCTATTTATATCCTTTCTATTTTTATAACTGAGTTAGTTTCATAGGAGTACTGTTATTATTTAACATTCACAGGCCTTCAATGAGCATCTTTAGCAGTCATGCCTAACCTGGCAGACAATAACTCTGGAACAGAGGCCTGTCCATTGCAGGGCACACCCGGAGTGAGGGCATGTCAGTTAATCCAGACAGCATGCCTCTGTACTGCGTGGAGGAGTGTACTGTAACATGCCGAGAAACATATGGGAAGGGGGAAACATGCAAACTCCACACAAAAAGCACCACAAGCTGGACCTGAACCTACAGTAAGTCCCAGAAGCTGTGAGCCAATATAACTTCACCATGAAGCAGTATCAAAAAGCAATGATCAATAATAAAAAATGTACAGTATATTTCAGAATAGTTATAATCATAAGTAGAAATAAAGGCATCAAGAGCAGATATCTTATATCTGTACAATCCATAACAATAAGTACTATCAGCACATCACATGGTAGATGTTTTATGCCCAAGGAAAAGTAGACTATTTACTTAGGAAGAACTGATGTCTCTTTCCTATAGTGATCTCAACTTTTCAGGACAGATCATCAGGCACCTCACCGAGAGGTCACAGGATCCCCTAAAGGGAAAATAATCAACCTCTACACTCACAGCTTTCACACAGCACTGTTTCAAAGTCCCAGCTGTACTCTGACCCCAGAGAAAGTGTAGAGCCTTTCTTCCTCGGGAACGGTGTATGTCACTGGAAAGCGTGAGGAACTGCTTTTTCACTGCAATGTTTTCTCATTAAAGACAGCACCCTTGAGGGAGCGATGAAAGTAAAGGTGGACATAAAAAGTGCAGACAGACTGACTCTATTTGTGTAGCACGCTTTCTCTCTCTCTGACCTTTTTATGCACTATTAGACCTTTCAAGTCTCCATTCAATATGATGTGACAGTTAAGCACTTATAGTTAAAAGGAAAAGTGAAGCTTAAAAGCAAAAGTGTGGCAAGCTTAAACCATTTAAAACATGTATTTTTTAAGTGTATCTATTCATAAGCATAACCGAAGGAGAGGTGCACATCCAGAATTAAGACTCTAGTCGTGTAATATATTAGCTTTTTGTAGACTTACCTTATTGACCATGCAAAGGGCATGTGGTATTTGCCAAGCTTGCTACAGAACTGCTTGTTGGACTTTAAGATTTTCTGGACAGTCTGTTAAAACACGGAGGTTAATTGTCATTTCACCCCTTTTCCACAAACTGACCTGAAGGCATTTATATGGCAACACAAATCTTGCAAATTTCTATTCAAGATTTTCTCACACAGGTATACCACTGTTTCCCCCATACAATGCCATGTTCTAGTTAAAAATGTTAAGCATTAATGTTTTCATATGTACTGTACATAATACCATTGCATTACATTAGTAACCTATTCTTTCAATATAAACTTTTAAATACATCCATAATGCCATCTAAAAACTATAATTCCATAAATGTATACCTATATACATTTGAGCTTCTAGTATTGTATCCACTTTAATATGTTATCCACTGTTTAAGCCAAATACAAATCAGACTGAGCCATTTACTCTACCTTGCTGGAGTCTGTATTCTTGATGTAGGGCTCTGCTCCACTAGTAATGTTTCCCATCAACACCTTTTCGACTCTGGCCACCATCACAGTGTCAATGTGGGGGTTCATGACCGAGAAAACAGCCTGTATCGAAGAAGAAAGAAAAACGTTCAGCCAAACTAAACATGTCAGCTATGTATGAATCCATTTCTGCCTCACATAGCCAGGTTCTCGGATATAAACAGTACCTGCTTAGGATATTGCAGACATTTGTCCAAATTCCCAGTGAGCTGACATTCCTTTGGTCGCTTTTCCGCCGGGGAGCTCATCCCGTTCTCCACCACGGAAGAAGAGCCTACGAGCATCTGCCTCACAACGTCGGGATTCAGGTCCACGTGGAAATCTGCCGACACCTTGCGGCCGTCCTTCGCGTTGAACAGGGCGATGCTGACAAAGAATGGTTCGATCTGCATCCGACCGGGAAAAAAACAACAACAAACATCCGGAATGGGATCTAGAAAAAAAAACTGCCCGGGCCATAAGATAACTATAAAGATCTCTGAGATCTCAGTTTTAAAAAATTAAAGTTAAAAAGACTTACATATTATATATCCTAAAGTATATTTTGATACATATCCGTTCATTAATTTTCTAACCGCTTCTTCCAATTCAGGGTCACGGGAGAGCCAGAACCTATCCCAGGAAACAAAGCTCTGGATGGGTCGTAGGACAGACACAAACACAGACAGACACGTGCTCCACAAGGGCCGCTTTTCCTAGATGCCAATGAACCTACAACCTTGTTTTTGGACTGTGAGAGGAAACCCACGCAGGCTCACAAAGACCTTTTCATATTTAGCAGCTCAGATCTGGAACTGAACCCAGGTCCCCAGTGCTGCAAGGCAGCAGTGCTCACCACTGCGCCACCGTGCTGCTTGTTTCAACATCATATTATAAATTAAGAAGATGATTCCTCATTTCCAGCGTAGGACGTGATCTGTTTTTGATCACTTTAAAACGTGACCCTTTTTCAGCATTCGAAATTCTGAGGTACAGGACAAATAAATGATGCTTACATTTGTTAATGGTCCATTCTCGTTCTCGGTCACACACCCCTGGAGCGTTAAATTGAGTGAATGGCATGTTATCATCAGTCGTTTTCCAACCTTCTCCTCAAACGGCTTCACAGTGGGCTCATGGGGTGAAAAATCAGATTTCTGGCTCTTGACCACCTTAAAAATAAGCAAAGATGCGATTTTCTCTCCTGCATTAGGTTTTACCCCACCATACAAACAAAAACTGCGCTATACCACAAGCCCCCAGACAACAGATAGAAAGGGAAACTTACAGGTATGTCTGGATCCAATGAAAACAAGTTCATGCGGTCCTCTCTGCGCGCCATCTTGACTGTTTCCTCTGTTTCAGTGATGTACTATCAAATAGAAAACATTCAACAGAAAAAATCCATAGTTGTATGAATAAGGTAGAAGATGCTAAATACATAAAATTGAAGGTTCAATTAACTGCTATAAATTATTTTTTGTCTATTATAACATAAAGCAAATAATTTATTAACGAGTTTAGTTGTCTTGTTCATAAATGAATATAATTTCAAAATATAGGTTGGTTCATTTGACGAGATGTGTAGATGAAAAAATCTCCATAATGGGAACATACTTCATATTTCAAAATATTGAGAATACTCACCTTTGCTAGCTCTGGATTTATACTGTTTTCTGACACCTCATCTGTATTCGTCAGAATTGTTTCACTTGATGGAAGATCTACTGAATCTGAAAGAAAAATAAGGAATGTAATACAGCTGATGTAAAACTGTGCTGAGCTTTTGCACACATGCACTGTACATTGAAGTTCACAAAACATCTGCGATGGAATATAATACTATAATACATGTTGGCGGTGACAAAAAGCCTTGAACTAGCTGAGTTACTAGCTTTCACATTTATGGAATTTTTTAATGTTTAACATCTATATACCATCTATGTTTAGTAATCACAGTATTCATACTGAAGAAAAGAACGGCTCCAGAGCTAGACTTGGGAATTCGTGTGAGTGAATCATACTTAATGGCTCTTCAGGCAACAGCACAGAGCTGCTGGTGTTCCCTCAAACCACTGCAGGAAAAATGACACAGGGCAGATCTGAAACTTTGACTAAATAAAACCCCAATAGGAGATTTTGCTAAAGGTGAAACAAGCCTCAGTGTCCACCTGTTTAATGCTCTTATTTGTGTATAAAACATGTCTGGCTGAAGCAATGAAAGCAATGAACCAAAAACAATTCCTTTAAACTAAAAAAAACAAACCAGTTACATTCTAAAAATGTAGATCCTGGAGCTACTATAAAGTTTTGACAATGAAGAATGATTAAAACCCTGGAGTTACGATGTTTTCTTTGGGAAAAATTATTTATACAATTTTTTCAGTTTCATAAAATTATGCAAGGAGAGTAATTCTCGAGGGATTTCTTAAGCATTCTGCAAATGTAATTTCATGTTACCAAAAAAGCTCTCTGTATTCCTCGCGGATGTTAATGCTCAATCATACTTTTTTTCCCCATTTTTTTGTGCAAAACTGAGCTTGAATGAACTCTTTTTTTACTGTTGGAAATGTCGTGCAGCTGGAGAGGGAAGCCAAGGACTTGAAAAGATTAATGTTTGTGCTGATGCTGACTGAATGTAAGGAGCTCACTTCCTGTGCTCACGGCTGTGGTTTGCCTCAGCTCCGATCACTGACCCTGTTTCATGTCTGTGAGGTCCACACTCTTTCTCTCCTGAGTTGGCCCTTCTGGGCTGATCTGCAGGATTCTGTTTAGGGTGCTTATCCAGTCTTCCATGTCCTGCTCGCTCTCGGCTGCCAGGACAAAGTATGTCACATCGTTCATTTTCAGCTCAAAGGCATATTTCCTCAACTTGTGATTCTGCAAAAAGTGTTAGATTCAAGCGAATAGCATTAGCAGGCTGGAAACATTCATTTAAAACTGTTTAAATCTCACAGAAATAGAAACCACAAACCCTGCGCTGTTTGACAAAATCATATTTTAGCGTTTTGACTTAACTCCAACAACTATACTTTACAATACACAGTTGTACAAGTACTGTACGTACAACTACCCTCCAGATGTCAAAACCAAGCTTTTTGTCTTTGAGTACTATAGCTCTATGGCCTATTACAGAAGTCCTAGCCTTTTATTCTAATGGTATTAACCATTATTAACCAAGTCTGTACTGTGACCATCATCAACCCTAAAAAATAATTGACATTTTCAGTGAGATACAGTAGGTATTGGTCTTTTTAAATCCTAGTGATGTGTGATCACGTGATAAAGATATACGTGCTGCAGTCTAAACATAAAAATGGAAAACTTTAAATGTGCAATTTTTGAACCCATTTATATGGCAGTGCATTAGTGCCATTTGATTGTATACAATACCAACACTTAGCAACTCTAGCCATTGAGGGTGCCCTGATTATCATAAAAATACAGGGAAATTGGGAATCATTGCCTGGAAAATTACTTTTTCAAACATTTTTATAGAGCTCACATTTGATGTCTGTCAAAGTGTGATTTGCCTTAGCCTTGCTGAAGAAAGGTTAAATGAGTTTACAGCTGTGCTTTGCAAAGCATATTTTCCCCCAGGAAGACTTCATTTTTAACCTTCTAAATATCTCACTGAATACACGTTACATTCATGATTGTTTCTAAAACCTTTTATCACATGCTTCGAGAGTCTTACTTCCTAATAAATTGTTTTTGCTGCACAGATTTTGCATTCTGCCTGTACATTTTGTGGTTTCCTGTTCTGTCCTTATTGGAGAGCTTTCTTAAACTTGACCTTTTTCACTAGTTCTCTTTTTCCACCCTGGATTCTTTCATGAAACATACAGTATTTCTCTTCCCGCTAAATACTGTATGTTCAGAATCGTAAAATATCAACTTGCAAAATATACCAACACTCAATAATAATACACATAAAGTGCTGAATGTCTTTTTCTATACAATTTATACCATGTACTGAATAGTGTACAAACAACAAAATAAAAGTATATGTTCTCATAAATGTTCTTGTAAACGACTCAGGGAACTGTCTATACAGTACATCATCGCATCACGATGTCACCATACTTGAGTTTTAACTATAATAAACCTTCTATTGTCTTTGTTATCTTTTTTCTTGCTAAAATAGCATAGTTGTGCCTATCATATTGACAAATGTCAAGTGTTGTTTCCTTTTTTGAAACATATTTTTCAAGTATCACAAGCCTGAATTGGGCAGCTGTGCTGATCTGGGAAAAACAAATCCAAAATATTTAGCATTAAAAATTATCATATGCTTCTCCTGACTTGTTTAAGGCTGTTACCTTTCTCATTATGGTAACCTTTAGCACTGTTGAATGCTGGAGTGCCTGAATTCACTTATTCACATTCTGCTTTCTGCTTTAGTTGTTGGCTTTGCCACAAGAGTGAAAGGGCATTTCTGACAGAACAAATTGCCTTTGCACATCTCCCAGTCTTTATCTACAATCAGCTATTCATTTTTCCTATGAAGATGGAAAATGATGAGTAAAATGAAACTGGGCTCACCGCAAGTCACACCTTATTGGAGGAGAATCTGGCAGCCCCAACCACAGTGCTTTATGGTTTTAAACAGCTAGATCATACCATCATCAAACTGCCCCTGGAGTCCAGACATTTAGCATTGCTTTCAGAAGAGTTCTACGGAACTCTATTTCTATTTTAAATCAGGAAGCACCTGCTGAGAAGCCTTAAAATAACTATAAATAAAACTAAATTGTCATTCAACGATGAAAGATATTATCAGATGGAGATGGAAGTTCTGGGGAAAGTGTTTGGTGCTTCATTTGTGAACATCGCTATTCTTTTAAACAAAAGCTGCAGGCAAGGAGAAGAAAAAAATGAACCCATTCTCAAACAAAAAGCTTACTGATTCATTCTTAAGTATGGACAGTGTCCAAGACTGTGCTGTTTCTACTGCTGATCAATTTCATGATAACCTGTACAGCAGGGTACAGATGGCAGACAAAAGAGTACAGCCTGGAGGAGAAGTTTCAAGATTCAGCTTATGAAAATATTCTGGATATAGAGGTTTTTTAATATGCTGTCAACATGAAAAATACAAAGAAAAACTGAAGGAGTGGGGACTCAATCATAACCGAGGAAACCTACCTGTACAACTCCAGTGCAAGAATCAAGGAAAATACATCCTTTTGGCTCCTTGGATATTTTCTCATCTTTGTAAAAATTCATGATGTAGGAATTATCTGTCAGCTGTGTGAGCTGGAAATACCTCCTTTTGAACGACTGCCAGTACAGAAGCACAGAAAGAAGTCACACAAAAGTAGTCTTTCAGTTTTAAGGATGATTAAAGGTGTGTAAAGAGGAACAAAGTATATTACCTGTTCATGTATGGTTCACCTTGACTAGGTATGAGTTTTAAGAAATTCTGAAAGATTGCTTAATTACCAGCTTAATGTCTTATACAAACTAAGGTGTATTAATAAGTCACATATAAGACTCACTACAGTAATAATACAGTGGAGGTCAGTGCTCATTACATACTGTACATATTGTATAATGCCTGAGTTTGATACAGTAAAAAGACCTTTGCACAATAGCCTATTGTTGTTTGCCTTTAATTTAAATTACAGAATGTTTATTTCTTGAGAAGGGGGCCCCAAACCAGAAAAAAGGTTAACCATCCCTATTCTACTGTGCATTTTTAAATACACTGCAGCATATTGCCAGCATTCATTTCCGATTGTGTTTGTCGTGGAAAGGCTTTCTTCTCTGCACAGCAGCACTGATCAGTTCATCTTACAGTGCATGCTCCCCGCTGTTTGCAGTGGAGGCTGATGCTAGTGACACTGACTCATCCAGCAAGTGCAGGCAGTGCTGTTAAAATTAGCACACAGGCGAGTGGAAATGTCTCCTTACCCTCACAGTGATGCTATTGTTCACAGTGCTGTTGAAATTCCCTTTGTAAAGCCAGCCAGATCTGAAAACTCCAAGTCCTCCTCCACCTCCACCCCCACCTTTTGATGATGACAGGGATGTCGTGTCCTGTGAAGACAACCATTCTTAACTCCTTGTCTTCAAGGTATGACCTTTCCGTGGACAAAGAAGCTTTCTCCTTGTAATTACAGTGTGAAAAGATCAAACCAGTACAGTAATTTCAGTAGATCTCACAGCTGAGTGATACTTTGCTGTGTAATAATAAAGCCCAAGAATTAGATAAATCTAAACTTTCTAGGCTCTACCTCTAGTTTCAGGAGCAAGCTGGCTTGGACACTAAATATGTATAATTGCATAGTAGTGCTTTAGACAAACTTGATCAGTACAGGACTGTATCTAACAAGTGTCTAACTAGTGCACAGTATACAGTAATGCAGTTTTTGCATTCAACATTATTTCTGTCATCATTATTCTCAACATGAAAATGTAAACTTATAGATGGCATTTGGGATAAATTAAGTCATCAACTCAATGGGGGCATGAATTGCCAATTTAGGATTTTGAAGTTCTAAGGAATTTCTATAAATGAGCCATACAGACACTTACTTCATCTTTATCAACATCTTCATGGTCGATTTCAAAGGAGTGTGAAGGAAGCTTTTCTGGTCTGTACAGTTTTCTGCAAAGTAATGAGCAATCAAACGCTGATTATTTCACTAGCACCTTATTAGAGACTGAGACATTTTTTACTTAAATGAATAATCAGCTTAATGGAATTAAATGAGATTTGTTTTTTCCAGGACACATAACCATTGTTTGCTTTGTTTACTATATTTTACGTGCAATGTAAATTTTATATGTAACTTGCCTTTTCCTTTTTTTCGAAAGCACTACAAAGATACTGTATCTCAACAAAATAAGCTTAGGTTTTATTGTAACCTTGCCTTGTAAATGTGAGAATTATTAATGCTGGACCTAACATTTATAAGGGAGAAGTAAAAAAAAACCCTCCAGATGCATTACATATCCCCTTAAACAATTACAGTCACAATTGCATGTGTCATGCTTGCCCCTGCTGGAGCACTGCAGAGCAAGCTAGCATTTCCACGGCTGCAGGCCATGCCTATACTCTCCGGTTGCCATGGATACGTATCAGACCAGAAGCTCGTTTCACCTTTGGGTATTCATAACCTTCCCCGCCTCAGGTGAAGCAGGCTATTATGCTCTATGCTCATTTACAGCCTAGGCCTGCCTAGTTCCTAGCTGTGTTTGTGTCTTCGTTCACAAGGATTCACAATCCTTTTTTCTTCTTTCTTGTGTTGGATTTCCCTTGTGTTCTATTCGGCTGTGAACCTGGACTGCTCTGTTGGACCTCGGCTTTTGAATTTTCCTTGTGTTCATTTCCTGGCTACAAACTCAGATTGTTTACTTGAATTCGTATTCTTTAAATTCCTTTGGCTCTTGGCTACTTTCTCTACTTGGCTACGAACTTTGTTTCTTTCAATCGCGTCTCTAGACTTTGCCTTGTCTGTTCATTACTCCCGCCTACTGCTGGCCTGTGCCTGCTCTTGGGTTCATCTTATGACCCACGGATCACTACTTCACCTCATCTCAAGCAGCGGACATTACATAATTGCTTAAGGAAATGAATAATGCATCTGGATAATAATCTACATTCCTATTAACATTTTATAAACCATTTCACAACTACGTAAGCTAATTATGGAAAAAGCACACATTGATAATACTAGATAAAGCACAAGATAAAACACTCCACAGTAAACAGATTTTACCATGCAGTTAATATTAGGGGACATTATTAATATCACACCCTTTAAAATATAGACTAAAGCCATTTCCTTTCCACAAAGCATATAACAGATTCAAATGTTACAAAGAGTAACATATAAAGAAAATATTAGTAGCCATTACAAACACAGGAGGTGCTTTTAAACTATTTTCTACAGCCTCTCTATAGAGTCTATATTGTCCATGCATCTGATGTCTACTCTCATTGGAGAAACCTCTTCATTTCTTCAAACCAAATCTTGTCTGCAAGGAGCCACTGAAGCCAAACACTTGTCACAGTGCCTGATTTTCCAGCCTGTCAAGAACGGACTTTTCAGATGGTGGTACTTTATTCTTTCCCATCCAGACACATTTTCAGAAAGGGAGTACTGTATGGGATTCGTAAGACACAAAGGGTGCTGTTTACTAAGCTCATTCAGATGTGGTCTGAAGATGTTGCTGACATAATGATGTATTTAAGGGCTGGCGGTGCCGAATGAGATAATATTCTTGTGTTATTTATAGACATTCTTCATCTGGAGACACTCCGAATTCTGCCTGCTGGTCATTTGGATGCCATGAGAGTTGACCGACATCAAGAGGAAGTGACTCCAGGGCGGAACATGAACGGCAACTCACTCCTTTTAAAGTTATAGAAGGTGGGATAGGAATGCTTTTGGGTAAGATGACCACTGCATTTGAAAATGTCTACTTCGAGTTCAGATAATAACGTTTTAATAACAATGTTGTTTTTTTTATTTTTAGGATGCATAAGTTATAAAGTGGCATGTCACCCATCCAGTTTCAAATTGCTTTATCCAATACAGGGTCGTGGGGAAGCTTAAGTCTATCCTGGCAAGCAACAGGCGCCAGGTGGGATACACACTGGATGGGACGCCAGTCCATCACAGGGCACACACACAGACACACACTCACTCACTCCAGGGCCAGCTTTCCCAGAAGTCAATTAACCTACCAGTATGTGTGAGGTAACTGGAGCACAAAACCCCTGTGAACACGGGCAGAAATACAAAGCCCATGCAGATAGACCTCGGGAATAGAACCCAGAGCACCAGCACTGAAATGCATAGCATTTAAAGTGAATTCTACTCTAAGAATTAAGAATGTAAAACCACATCGTCTTTTGATTGGCATCCAAAGAGGGTCCAATAAACACTCCCTGACAAAGCCGTTGTGCCAATAGATTCAACAGGGACCTCTCTGCATGGAGCCAGAGGGGAGTGATGAGATAGTGATAGTGGCGAGGGTGATGTCTCCTTGCTGTCAGCTGCCCTTGCTCAATCAGTTGTCATCCGGAGCCATGCAGCTCGGAGGGGAAATCTCAGCATGGAACAACAGGGATGTGAAGGCTGGGAAAACGATCAGGCTATTCTGATCTTCATTCCATGCCCACTGAGTCAGATACTGTAAACAGAGGCCACTGGTGAAGGGAAATAACATCTCCTTCACTAATTTAAGAAAAGCCTTTAAAAACAAAGCACAGATTCAAAATAAGCAGAACAAAAACGGGGGCCGCCTACCTGGGTAATTGCCGATAATCACCAGCATACTCTTCATATTTATAATCTACAACGTTCCACTGGGAGTTGAAGTACTTGCAGGCCTGAAGAGAACCAAGAAAAGAAAAGAAAGGTTTTGTTGAACAACAAGTTCTTCTCATGTGAGACACTGTTTCTGTCCATATCTATCAAACTTCAAACATGGTGTATGTACCGTACAAGTTGTACCCTGTATTGCACAGTTTCAGAAAATAAAAACCTAGAAGAAGTAATGTACTTAATAAACTAAGCCAGAAGTCCAGATCTCCAAGCCATTGTAAACTTCCTAAATGATTTATACAGGAGACATTTCTAGATTTTGAAGTTCTATCAAATATAAATGCCGTTCCTGCTTTTATTGGTTAGAACTGAAAGGCTTCTGGTAAACATTATACCTTTCTATGGAGTGAATTCCACACGTACTTTAAGCAATAGGTACAGTACTTGCTCATGTTTATAAATAAACTGTTACAAGCCATTTTCATAGTAAAACTTACCACCAAAATAGCTACATTACCATCATAAATAATACTTTGTTACACTTTCATATTAGAGTAAAAATACAAACACAACTTTAAAAAACACAAAAAGCGTTCTCATCTGCCAGTCAGACCAGCATGAATATAAAATGATTCAAGCATGTAAATACGCATGAATATTGCACACCCCTTTTGAAATTTAGAAAGACATATACATAACCAAACCAACATTACTGACCTTTTTCTATTATATTTCTGAAAATCTATTATATTTATTTATAAAACTTGTCATCATGCAGAGTATTACATTTTTATGGTGCTCTATAATTACAGAGGTTTTAAACTCACTGCAGCATTGCTGAGCAAAAATTAAAATACACCAGTCCTCCTAAAATAATATCCAAAACCCAGAAGTTTTGCATTGGGGGAAACATATTTATATATACAGTACCACCATCAATTGTGAGAAACAATTGTCTGAAGTCATTTGAACTACTGTAAATAAACTCAAACTAAAACCTAAACGAGCGTGTGTATCTCATAATGAGGCTTATTAGAAGCATAATCTGGACTTTCATTAAAAATGAGATTAATGTAAAACAGAGATTAACACTTAGTCTGAGATTCTACATAAGAATTTAGCAGACCTATTAGATACAGTGCAATGTCAATGATTTAGTCTGATAATTTCATGATTACATGATCCTTAAGCCTTAAAGGATGCCATCCATTTATGAAGTTTTCTGTATTTTGAGTGTGACGCTCAATGTATTAAAAAGCTGCTCTGAATCTTTCTTGCAGTGTTCTGTTAATGGTTCAATTTTAACAACACACAGAGAACGCTAAAAACAACATCGATTTTAAAAAATGTTAATTAGAAAAAAAAAACTTTGTTACTTCTTCGCCAAATACTCAGATTGTCAGTCTGTCGTCCAAGCGAAAATGTAGGAGCCATGCAAGCAAGACTGCACATTAGTAATTACCAGAATAAACAAGCCTGTCATTCTTCATTTAGCTGGAAAACTACCATAGTCTCAGTGTGAGAAAAGAACTTAGTGAGGTTAAGGCACTGAAAAGAAAAAACAAATGCCTGCAGCTGAACTAACCACTTCCCCAATGGGTACATTCCTCACATTCTCGTTTCACTGCAGGCTGGGAGCATAATGTGCTTTTTTATTTCTTTTTATGTGAATAAAGAAACATCAACCAATCCGTGCAGTTATGGGTCTCCCCTTTGGGTCACAGAAATGTGGTGACATACCTGTTAGCTTCGCAGTGTGCAATTTGCTTCATCGTAGTCTAATATAAAAGGGCCCTCTGTCAACGTTACAATACAGATCTGAAGTGGGTTATTCAGTGGGAGAGAAGTGCTCAGTGATGTCCTCCAATTTAACAGTAATGATTTTTCCACAAAAGCACATCAGCAAAGAGGCCAAAATAATTTCACAATTTCTAAGTGCTTTAGACTGCCAATTGGAAAGCCAAAGCACTGTATGTTAATTCGTCTAAAGCCTATTCCACAAACACAATTCTTTATTTTCTGCATCATGAATAAAATCTCCTAGTTAGTTTACCCAACACCAGCGGTAGTGTGATTTCTCATCACGCTGAGACTCATCACAAGACTACTGCTTTATTTATCCCAATGCTAACAACACCAAATCAATTAATTAGGGGATGAAAATGGAGCTACTTCAGCTAAACACTGCAGCAAAACAAGACGCTAGCAGCTACTGACGTATGCAAGCAGCTAAATTCATCACAGGCTCTGCATGTTTACTAGGTTGTTTGCATTCACACACAAAATGTCAGATTCTGCTTTTTCTAAACAGGAAGGGGAAACTCAGAGCCCTGATGTGTGGGAAGGAATTACAACAGTGAGATTTTGTTTGGTAGTTTGTTGTTTCAATGGTTCATCATGATAAATATCCATATTACCAGGTCTGCTACTGTTTGATGTCATGTAGTTAAAGTGTTTTTCACCACAATCTGTATAAAATAGCAAATTAATATGTTGGTGTTTAAAAAACATAACGATAGTTGTTCGAAACTATGTTTTTTATACTATACTACTATACAATGCCCCGGCTTTTCCTTAAAGTAAAGATCAAAACAGAATTTATAACCAAAGTTTGGGAGGAGGGCAAACCCTAATTCCCACCAACCAATTACAGGCTAAGAGATCATATATGGACTCAGCGTTCTTTGCTCAAGCATCATTCCAACAATCCCACTACCACCACCAATGCGGTACCTCCCCCCCCCCACACACAGGCACACATCCTATAGGAAAGTTCTGACTACCTCATACACGTGAGCAGGCTGTAGTATTTTATAACAATACAAGCAAAATCAGAACAAACCAGTGCTAATAATAACCTGCCACAGGTTCATGCTAAAGCAGAAAGAATCACTCAGTTTCAACTTTCAGTAGTGGCCACACCAATAAGATCTATTGTAATTCTCTGCCTTAGAAAAGTACATTACGAAGCACTTGATTCCAACTGATACTAAACTTGGGGGGGGGCGATGATGCTGTTTTACCAAGGATGTACTTTACATGAGCGCAGTACTAATGGTATTGTTTCACCGTGGCCAATGGTGACAGGCTGAACCTGGAATGACATTTTCTTGTTATTTCTAGGAAATTACTCAAGGCAATGTCTAAGTATAAAGTTCATTTCTGAGCTATTTGACACTGAACTATATTTTTAACATAAGAGTTATTACAGACAATGTAAGAGGTAAAAAACATTCATTGCTTACTTTATCTCATAATTTGAAATAAATCATCTTTAGTGATGTGAATTGTTCTCAGCTAACAATGTCAAATAGCATTCACTATGGCAGTATCTCAGTATGCTCTTCAGTTTGTCAGCGATCCTAGATAAGTCAATACACTCAGCAAATTCTTGGAAAATCACAGAGAAGCTGCAAGGCAAACAGTTTTTATCAAAGCTGGATAGAAACACCACTCTAAGCATTAACGTATCAGAAATGGGAGGTTTCATAAGATTTGAGAAGCCACTATACTCCAGAGGAATCTGAAGATGTCTAGGACAGTGTTTATGAATCAATAACAGTACAGGTACAGGTTCAGGCTCATTCCATGCTGAACGGTAAAGAAAAGAAAACACATTTCGGCTGTGGAGCCTTCTTCAAGTGTGAGATCCATAAGTAGGCTCCACAGCGAAACACTGTGTTTCTTTATTTATGTTTCAGCATGAAATGAATCTTTACCTGCTTTGCAGCCTCTGCATGCTCATGCAGCTCCCTTCTCAAGAGCGTAGGAATGGTGTGTTCAGTATTTGGCAAAGGTATGATCCTTGATCCTCAGTTCAGAAAGACATATGAACATAGTAGACAGACTGTACAGATATGGGGTTGCTAATAACAGGACAGGCAAGGGGAAAAAAATTCTGCTGCAAAATCCAAATTTCCTTGTGGGAAGGTAATTATTTTGCACTGCATTCTGTATAAGATATGCAAAGTATCCAATGAACACAATTTAGGAGCCATAAATACAATAAAAATGTTCATCGTGAGCATCAGGCTGTTTAACATCTGCTTTCCCAGTGGGAGAACAGACCAGCAGGAGAGTACGGAGATGAAAGTGAACTAGCTAAAAGACAGAGGAAGCATAACACAACCATCGAGACACAGAAAACAAGATCCGAAGATTTAGTTTGCTGCGAGTTTGATTTTGGTCGCCGCGCATCCTCGTGGATCAGTTAGCTCAGCATGAAAGAGATCTCTCTGGAGATGCCTTGGGCAACAAGTTAGCTTCCCAAAACACCATATGGTCCTCTGCAGTCGATAGAGTCAGTGCTGGTGGTCTCGCCAGGACATTGCTGTGTCTCAGGTACAGAAAGGGTATTGGGGCTTGCATCACAAACAGGAGGAGGGTCTCATCACCACATATAGGACTGATTTCATTAAAGGGTTTAGACAATCAAATGATGGGGGCAACATCTATACATGTTTTTGTGAGGTAGGTGGCCCTTTACAGTTCATAATTGCTCAGTTCTACAAAAGTTTGCAATTTTCTGGAAGAGAAGTCAATTATTCAATTATTGCTCCAAGCAAAATTCCTTCATCTTATTTACATGTTTTCTCTCCTCACTCTTCCAGATCCCTGGCCATTCTCATCCTGCGTTCTTCATTCCTACACAGTTCAATGTACTGTGATGTGCACAGTGCTGATCATCTAGTTGATGCAGAAAGTCAGGTTAACGTTTTTTTTATAGCTACATTTCTAATGTCGCTGTTTATCCTTATTTTACAACACATGTAGTTTGCATGTATTGCACTTTAACATTGCTCCCACGGTGTCCACAATTAGTATTTACTGTAGGAAGTGCTGCATTTCCTATTGTTTTGTAATACTGGAACCTTTCGCTAGCTGTGAAACTTGCGATTTGTATTCGGTACAGACTGTAGAATCTGGAAAATAAGTTCATTTTTTCTTCTACACATTTTGTAGGATCTTCTGAGGAAATATTTGGTGTAACTCTTCAGCCCCCAAAAATATTTAGACGTGTATAGATCTGGGACATGCCAGCTGATTTCTGATGTTTTGTTGACACTGTCTAAACAATTGTGACTTTGTCTGCAATATGCATGACAGTAAATTTGACTCATAATATTTATCTCAATGTTCTGTATAATTTGAATTAAACAATTATGGAAAGGTAAAATCAGAGCCATTGTAAATGCAAGTAGGCAAGGCCTTTAATATAAACAAGTTCTACAAACAACTGTTTCACTCTTTGTTCTCATACTCACCGACATAAGAGATGGAGCAGCACTGTCTGATTTTTTTTTCTAGATTTCTATCGATCATTATTACATTCTTGTATATTTATTTATAACACGGACAAGGGAAAACTAGCTTCAGGTACAAGGAGCTGAAGTACTGCAACTGCAATGATAACACAACTGTCTTATGCTTAATCATCATGCGTCATAGGGCTAACAGTGCCAATGCAGGTAAGAAATATATATTTGCAGATTTAGCTCTTAATTTCTTTGAACAACTCTGCACCAAAATACACTGCAAAGGTTTTGCACAGTGTGAAATGAGCTCTTCATTTGTGTTCACACATCAGAAATTGCACATGAATGCTGAAACGATAAACCGGTGTCTTACAGTTCAAACGAATTGACCAATGCAACTTATAATTAATTCACACTTCATTATCACCTACAGTATCGCACCAGAGAAGTCACTGAAGCCTCGTCTTCAAAACTGGCCTTGGAGGTGACCGAGACACTTAGCAGACATTTCAGGTCACCATTTTCCTTCCTATATACTCAGGTACGCTGCTTGCCTGAGCGCCTCAGAAAGCAGCTGAAATCACAGAGAGCTCCTGTTCTAAAATAAGCAACCGTGCATCTTCAAATGAAACCGTGAAGCAGCAAGTCAGAGCAGGGCCCTACCTCTCTGACCAGCAGACTCTCGGCCTGTACTTCAGCTCCCTCAGGCACAGTCGAGTGCAAAGTCCTTCTTTCCCATGAGATTGTGGACACCTGGAAAGGAAAGGGACAAGAATCACCACAGGAACAAAGAGTTCACATGGTAAATCTGAGGATTAAGATTTGCCAGTTTTTGCAAAAGCTGTGAAAATCACTCATCCAAATATGAGGATGAAGGATGCTATTATACTGTGTATGCAACATGCACATAAAAACATGATTAAATGGCAAAAATGTTGACGTGCAAAACATCAGGGCTTAATCATTCTGGGGCATTTAAAGAAAGTCCATTTAAATTGAAATAATCTTAAAATGTAAGTTATTGCCACACCCCTCCAGGGAAATTTCTACTTCCATCTATTGCTATACACCTCCACTACACAGTACAGCACAAAGGTGCTTGAAATACCTGCATGCACAGAGAAAAGGCTAATCATAAACTATGCTCTTTCATTTATGAATCCACCTTTTCCTTGTGGATTATTTAATGCACCACAATGAAAATCCCCATGATGTCACTGAACTAAACAAAGTTCAGAGCTACTGTACAACAGAAAACAAAACCACCACATCCAGTTATATACTGTATATACAGTACTGTATAATACCTGGGCTGCTTCTAAACCAATTTGAACAAAAGTGTACGATCATAGTCTGAACACAGATGCAGATGGAGATGGAAAAGCTCACTCCAGCTCTGAGATTCAAAGACCTCAACACAAAACACACAATTGCGCTGAAATTTCAGATCCACTGACAAAGAAAACAGCATTGCAAACAAAGAAAAGAGCAATTAATTATTACCCATTTATTTGGCTGAGGATTCTATCCAAAGCAACTTTCAGTGCCTCACCTGGGATTTGAACCCATCAGCTTCCAGTTACAGATCTCGAAGATTAAGCACTGTGGCCCCATACACACATAACTTAGATCATTTCAGACTGTATAATAGCTGTACAGTGCCAGGCTCTTCCGGCCCTCCTCTCCTGGGATTTTGTCTTGTATATGTTGGAAGTGAGCCACTGTTTCATTGTAGCAAACTACTGGGACAAAACTCTTTGCGAGACCCTTACATTTCTGCAGAACACACAATAATAAACACAGAGTCATACTAATTCACTGCTGGGGTTTAAGACTCCAAAAAAGAGCTGCTTATTCTACTGCTCTTGTGAAGAGTGTTGCTACAATACAAAAGTGGCTGGATTCCAGTATATACAAGACAAAGTCCCGTGAGAAGAAGACAGGAAGGGCCTGGCAATGTATAGCTATGACCTAAAATGATCTAAGTAGTATATTTAGACTTCATACTGTAATACCTCCGAACTTTAGGTATTAAATGCATTAACTATTAAGGTAACTAATATTTGTTTTCATGTGCTTCCTCAGTAACTAGGTTAATCTTCCGTTTTAAGTTGCTACGAAACTATGAATGTACTTCCTCTTCATAACACCAGCTAGAATGAGATCATTTACAAAACAGCAGTTTATTTTGTGTACTGTACGTAAACTAATAACACAATGAGCTGCAGCACAAATGTATATGTATAATGTATATTGTATATACAGTATGTGCCCACACAAGTAGATACTGCAGCACTGTATCACCAAAAGCATAGACAATTTGAAAATTGAATCTCGGATTGAAATACTGACTGAAAAATCATCTTCGGGAAACACTAGCAAGTCCTTCAGTGGCTCTTCCTTCTGTTCAGGTTCCAGCTCAGAGATCACAGTCTCGTAATCCAGAGGGTCGACCAGTTTAGGCTTCTCTTGCTGAGGGGAAAACAAGAAAAAGAGTCAGTACTTCTGTGGCGTCCCTTTAAAACATTTGCTGTCTGGCACCTACAGTACAAATCAGGCTGTTGAGTTCAGCGGAAGAGGCTTTGTGTCTCTGCAGAGGTGTGATGTGCTACTCAGATGCTCAGGAGCCACAGCTGAAGACACCAGGAAAAGCACGGGAATCTGTCAGAGCACCAGCTTGTCTACTAACCCGAAATCTTTGTTCAAATTCTGTGCCCTGAAATTGACATGAAATATTTCTCTAGGGCAGCTGAAGCAGACAGCACACAGAGCTGGGGCCCTGGTTCAATTTCAGATTCGGAGTTCTATCTGTGTGGAGTTTGATCGTTTTTTACTAATATATTAAATCGGTACTTTTATTCCATTTAAACTGATTACATTTTGAAGTGTATTAAATTTACTAGTAAAAAAATTGGTTCTCTCTGTGTTTGCGTGGGTACCCTCTGGGATCTTCAGTTTCCTCCCCCAGTCCCAAAACCATAGCTCCAACACAGCTTCTGGGAAAATGGACACTGGTGTGAGTGTATCTGTGTTTGTGTCTGTTAGTCCTGTGATAGACTGGCGTTCATTCGTGACCTTGAACTGGAAGAAGCTGCTAGAAAAATGAATGGATGGTATCTGAGGCACAAATCAGGGTGTCCCACCCTCCTGGTACTCGTAGCACTAAATGTGCTGGGCGTGTGAAATCAAAGACTTATCAGACATTCTCAGTTGAGCACTTGAGTTCAGAGTTTGATCAATGACCAAAGGAACAAGTAAAGGTTTATTCCATGCTGAAAAGAGAAGAAAAGAAACACAGCGTTTCGGCTGTGAAGCCTTCTTCTAGCCTCCACACCCAAAGAAGGCTCCACAGCCGAAACGTGGAATAAACCTTTATTTGATCCTGTGTAGCCTACGCATCCTGATGCAGCTCCCTACTTGAACTACTTCAATTACTCAAGTCAGCTTGGACACACTGAGTCCACTCCATACATCTGTACTGGATGTGCTATGCTTCCTTTTATACAAACAATGAAAAATGCTCATAAGTTCAGTGTAAGGAATGCAATCTCTCAACCCTTCCACACCATTCAAAAGTCCACTATCATTTGGTTAAACAGAGGGCAGAGGGCTCAGCCAGGCCAGAGAACTGTTCAATATCTCCTCCATAACCAGTCCACCCTTACATGAGATCATGCTTTCAATGTGCCTTCAGATGACCACGTGTGCCACTCTGACAGTGTGACAATTCCTTGATTCTGCCTATCAATGATGACATGAAGGTATCTACAACGTCCAGAGCTTATTTAAAAGTCTAAAGGAAAGTAATATAAACTGATCTCTAACATTTTTAGCTGAATGCTTTTTGGCGTTAACTCTAAACACACCCTGACTCTTGAGGTATAACCTGAGCCATAAATCAAAATGAGAAACAGAATTACAATGCTGCTGTTTTAACCTCTAACAGCTCTTAATTCTTTGTGTTCTGAATGCTAGCAAGTGTTCCTGAGGCCTGGTGGAACACAAAAGAAGCATGACCTTCAGAAACACGTGCAGTAGCTTAAGTTTATATTAACCACAAGCCCCCAAAATGAAAGTACTTCACAAACGAAGGGAAAAAGGCCACTGATGCGTCAAGTTATGAAGTTATTCATAACTACAGCACTGCTGAGAAGTACATGTCAAACCTCTAACTTACAAGAACTGTCTTCATTTTGTCAGTCATTTTGGAAATTCCTTGTTGTCTCATTATTTTGAGAACATGTAAGCATGGGTACTTACCAAACCATCAAGGGGGAAACTGTAATATACTTTAATTTAACTTCCTATTCACAGAGAGCAAACACAAGGAAATGAACTAGACAAACAGAACAAACCAAAAATGTTCTGAGTTTTCCATTTTTCTGCATCTCTTCATTGATTCTTGAATACACAATGGGTAGAAAGTCACCAATCGGTAGTAATCCATCCTATTTATATCTCCTGAAAATATACCCTCGACAGAATACAGGGCACTTTGGTTATCAATTATCTCAAAGCTCTACCCAATAACAAAAAATATATACAACAATGTAAAATATAAATAAAAGAAACTGACCTAATTTACACTATAATATATACAGGAGTTCTTAATTTCATTGACAACAGTATTCCACAGACCAGGAGCATAGGAAGAGGAGGATTGCCCAGTTTCCAGCTTTGAGGACGGTACAAACAAGAGGCATGTATCAGAGTTTTTTATCAGGGTGCTAAAGAGCTACTATCATATGATGACTATGCAAAATTCAGTGGGAAGACAGGGGCCAGACTGCCAGACTTGGACCTAGGCAGAACTCTAGATGCCAAGGTGAAACTAAGAATCGTAATATTAAATGACTGTGGAATGGCAAAAAAAGCAGATAAACCTGTTCAGCTTTTAAGAGTGACAAAAAACAGAGTGAAATAAAATGTAGGAAGTTCAGTCAAAGCATGGTTAAAGCGTTAACAAAGTTTCAGTAGCACTGTAAAGCACTAGGCTGCCTACTGTATATCCACGTAAAATAACTGTTATTATCAATCAATACAGACTGAAATGACACCCACATACAGTATTATCTGAAAGTAGTAAATGGAATATAGAGGCAGATGAATTGTTTTCACTCAAGCTAGATGTTGACCACTTACTTGTCAATGAGATTAAACACAAGAATTTCAGATACAGATTTGTGTTGTAACTATGATTCATGTAAGAGCGCTACAGTTATGATATTCACGTGCCTTTCATTAGTTAAAGAAGACTAAGTGTTTTTATGACAAGTAGATTGACGAAATTGATATACTGTAGATAGGATGAATTATCAGTCCAATGAGAAATGTTTGCCTTGTCCACACAGATGTCAGATGCTGAAGTGCCATTGTTCACTCCCCAATGAAAACATTATACACAGTGTATGTTAGGAAGGCTAATGTACAGTACAGTATAAGGTCAGGAGCCACAGAATAGCCTGTCAATTTGATCAGAAACCTAACACAGCCTGGTTCTGGGACTTCAAATAAAGATTAAATGGGGGATTTTTAATATTGTCTCAATGTTTCAGACTCCATAAGATTTTAGCCTTTTTTTATTGATGTAATTTCTTTTCGTTTTTTGCATAAGGAAGTGGCTTTGTTAATTTGCTTTGAACGCCTAAACATCTTCCTGTTCTTAATATGCAGTGTATAGGTTTGCATGCCTTCAGACTTGAGATTTTGTGATACTGTACAACATCAACACAGACCATAAGTTAAATGTTCATAATAATGTTTTATGTACAGTACAAAGGTTTTTAGAGAAAATAAATACTCAGCACAACATCTGATGTAAGGAAGGTATCTGGATATATAAAGTGCATGTTTTGTTTCTGTTAAGTATGATGGAATTACTACCCTCCGTAAGTCAGAAAGCCAGACTGACATGGAGCATACATCCCATTCAATTAATCCTTGTTTAATTTCACACATTAAAAACAAAGGCTGTATCCATGATGTGCAACGAGATTTCTGAACTGAACCAAGAGATATTAATCTTGAGGCGCACCACAATGCGACTCAGGATATGACAGTTGCAAGGATCCTGAGGAATGCACGCCACATTTTCGTGGCCATCGCTTGTGTGAATGCAACAATTGAGTGTCATGACCAGGCTGCAGAAATTTAATCAAGAATCAATCAAAGAGATTAGGGATGATCCCAACCACACTTAAGTATCACACTTCAACAATGACGTTAAAATTGGTTTGCTCCACAGGTGTAACCCATTACTAAATCACTGTCACCACAGCTTCTTTACATATCTCCTCCATTAAACATCAAACATATTATTCATCAGCCACCGAACACATACAGAACATCGTTTTGTAACTCCAACCATATTGTCGGAAAACCTCACTGTTTAAAAAGGTGAAGGGAAAAGATACGAGATCAAGATACCTACACAGCTTAGCCTGCTAAAATCCCCCCGAGCTCGTCTGGTTTTTCTTTTCCTCCGGAAATCAATGGTGGGCTCCCGTTTGAAAACTTTGGATCTGAAACTCATCCTTCTGTTTCAGGGATTACGGGTAGGAGAAGCCAGCAAAGCCGGACACGCTTCAGGACAAGAAGGAGAACTTTCATTTAACTGCGAAACCTGCAGGGCTGTGGGAGGGGGAAGTACTCTGCTCTCGCTGTCATAGTCATCTAGAGCTCACTGGCGGCAAAGAGGAAAAGAAAACCTTGTGCGTGTAGCCGTTTCCCCCCACAGAGCATGCAATGAGCTCCACGCGCTACCATGAAGAATTATTTCTAAGACCTGAGAGGAGGAGCTTGGCACAAAAATATTTAAACATAACAGTGCTTCCACCTGTGTTGTGAAGGTTTCAAATTTACTAATGAAGTGATATGATTTAGTTACCACAGCGTGCAACAGAACACAGTATGAAAAGCAAAAGGGCCAAGGAATTCAAACCCTGAATTTTTGCAAACTGAGTGCTTCGCTTTATGTTTCAGCAGAATTTAAGACCGACCATGCAGCAAGAGCTACTGTAGCTTTAGAGCTTATTTTAGAATGAGGCCTAATTCTAAAACAAACCCTCTTCAGAAACACCTACAGTATACTGTATCACATTTTTTTAAAACTTAAACTCATTTTTCTGAGCAGAAATCGTTTTGTCTACTGGTTATTTAGAGAATACAAATAAGCAGCATGGAAAACAAGTGTCCAGAATTAAACAGCATGCACCATCTGCCATTAAAGACTAATATACTGTAAGAAAATTACTATGGTAATTACTTGATCAGCTGCTCATGTGTGCTAGGCACACTTAGTGAAACAAAGGCAAATAACAAAGCAAGGTTTGCCTATTATGTATAAAACTACACAAGTGTAATTTGTAATAGATGCTTTGTAATTCCTTTACAGGACACAACCACCAGCTGCTAAATCACATAGTGGAAGTGATACCATTCATCTCCCCTAGTCTCTATATGATACAGTCTCT